TTTAGAATAAATTACAAAAGATCTTGGTAAGTTTCGATTCCAAGAAATCACTTTTCTTTATTAAAATCAGATGGTTATATATGTTACTGCATTCAATGCATGTTTATACATTCCAATAAAAAAATGTGATCAAAATCTGAAAATAATGTGAAAATGCATACTAAGGATTTTTTTTTTTATATTCTTTAACTGATGTTTTAAGAGTATTGATTAATATTTGATTTTAGAAAAATATTATTATTATTATTATTAAACATAGCTAGTATTATAGATAAATTAATCAAATTTTAATCAGATGTGATATATAAATTTCTTATGTACAGTAAGGAGGAGTAAATCATATTAAGATATTTGTTAAGATCTTTACTTCATCGTAACTAGTTAACAATAAACAGAAAAGGTTAAAAATGTAATTTACCTGTGTACATGCAATTTTTTATTATAGCCAGTATGTTTTTATCAAATGATCCGGAGCGTACAAGTCTTTTTCCTTTTTTATTTAATTCCCATTTGTTTGCAACTTGATTTTTAGGAGAAAAAAAAACTTTTTCATTGACTAATTCTGGAATAAATTGGACTTGAACATGTGAAATTTCCGTGAGGATACGTAACCAAAAACACTATTATCTAAACTGTTTGCCAAATTTTAATATGCACGAACGAGAGGAGTGGCTGACCTCACCAAACACTAAAATATTGAATCGCTGCACAAGCGCAAGCATCCATACAAGACTTTTAGGGTCAAACCTGACGCCTTCATCTTGGTGGTAGGTAGTTGAGTTTGTGTTAGTTGGCTTGGTCCGCTGACGTAAGCCATACTAATACTACTTTTCATCATTTTAAACCAATGATTGCTTATGTTAGTATGTTTCACGATTTTTTTTAAATGAATCATTTTTTCAAAAATTAACCTATACCAAACGTACACTTTATTAATTATAGAAACTTTGCTATCTGTTACTTATTTTCTGTATAGTATAAATAGATCTTTTAATTAAGAACTTTTTGAAACAATATATCGATTAAAGATATATAAATAAATGGTTCAGATTTAAAGAAATATGATAACATATTTAAAATTGTTTTAATAAAAGTAAGAAAACAAATTATTAAAGCCCGAAGAAAACATTTAATATAAAAATAATGTAAAAGTAAATCTTGAAAGTAATAAACATTTTGTTAAAATGTTTGGAACAATTGTATTATGATAAGAAAAATAAAAATAAAACAAAGATTTTTTTCTTTTTTTACATGAAAGAAGTTGTAAGATAAGAGTAAATATTTAAAAAGAAAACTATGTTATCAAAATAAATTTACCATTAAATGTAGAATATACTCCAATTTGTAATAACTAGTAAAAATGCTTTCAAATTAGATGCATTTTCATTGCCCTAATAAATAAACAAAAATATAGTATTCCAACTTGTGCATGCTGCTGACCAAAAGCATACTTGATTGAAATTAAAAAAGATTTGTATGGGTGCCAATGATGCGCAAGTTTGGCGAATATAAATGTGGTTGGGTTCCTTACGATGTTGACGTTATAAAATTCAAAAGTGGTGAAGTGGTAAAATGCATGTGTTTTAGGGGTACGGGATGACAGAAGCAGGTCCAGTGCTGTCCATGTGCTTGGGCTTTGCAAAGCAACCATTCCCAACAAAATCGGGATCTTGTGGAACTGTTGTAAGAAATGCAGAACTCAAGGTTGTTGACCCTGAAACTGGTCGTTCTCTTGGCTACAACCAACCCGGTGAAATTTGCATCCGAGGGCTACAGATCATGAAAGGTAGTAATATTCCTCTGTTGTGCTTTCCTTATACACTCTGGGAAAGCAATTATTATTTGTTTCAAATGTTAATTGACTTTGCACTGACACTCAAATTCGTACGTCAGGATATCTGAACGATGACAAAGCCACAGCATCGACCATCGATGCAGAAGGTTGGCTTCACACCGGTGATGTTGGCTATGTAGATGATGATGATGAAATTTTCATTGTTGACAGGGTGAAAGAACTCATTAAATTTAAAGGCTTCCAGGTATACATTTATATATAAACATTTAAACTAAATTTGTATAAAAAAATTTGAGAAAAAAAGATGTGACAACAAGTAATTAATTATTTTTTTTTCTGCTAGGTGCCCCCTGCAGAACTTGAAGGGCTTCTTGTAAGCCATCCCTCCATTGCAGACGCAGCAGTAGTCCCGTAAGCTTCTTAATCTTCCGAATTTCAATGGCTTACTATTGTGCATATATATATATATATATATATATATATATATATATATATAGTAGACATGAGTGACCATTAATTTTATCAATGTTAACAGACAAAAGGATGTTGTTGCTGGTGAACTTCCTGTTGCTTTCGTTGTGAGATCAAACGGCTTTGATCTAACTGAAGACGCTGTGAAAGAGTTTATAGCCAAACAGGTATGCCAACTGTGACATCAATTATGTGTTTTTGTATAAAGCAACTTGCATTTTAACTACTAAATAATCTAACTTCATTCATATGACCATATGGATCAAATACATACATAAAAACATGAGGTGTTTACAAATTTAATGGAAGCTTAATCTTTAAAGGCTTTTGATCAGTAATTGAATGTTATGGGTATTTGTTGACGACAGGTAGTGTTTTACAAAAGACTACACAAAGTTTATTTTGTTCATGCTATTCCCAAGTCTCCATCAGGAAAGATATTGAGAAAAGACCTTAGAGCAAAGCTGGAAGCGCCCGCCACTTCGACGACTTAAGGCCAGAACCTGCCCTATTTTTTGGCAGTATTTTCCCCATTTTTTATTTATATTATTGGTTTCACACACGTGTAATTTATCTGTCAGTCTACAAGCATAGAGTGAATCCTCGAAGCAGCTGTACTTGCAAATATTCATCCTATTTTTATGTCCATTTCCTTAGCTTCTCCGGGGTCCATTGCATCTGTATTGTGACTTTAGATCACTAATTTTCGGGACCTTATATTATTCATCTTGTCGGATTTTGCTATGCTTCTCTACCCTTTATTTTTTAGGATGATTTGGGAGGAAGATTAAAAATGTCCTTTGTTTGATTGATAAGAAGTTAGGAAAGACAAGAAATAAAATTTTGTGGACCTTACCACATTCCTCTGTCCGATTCTGTCTCTAAATTAGACTTGGATGGTGCAGCTTGTACGTGTGCTACAACCAATTGTTTTGGTCATTTTTTTTTTCCAAATAACTTGAGTCCTGGAAAGGGGGTCAAACTGAGCCACGACTCAAGTTTCGGCTCCTTGGGATTGAATTAAAAATAAGTAATTTTGCTATTCTACACGAATTAATGAGGTAAGCTTGAGTTATGTTTTATTTTTTAAATTTTTATTATTTTAAATCACTAAAGCAAATTAGGTAAGTTATATATAGTTTTTCATTAATTCACACTTGTACAAAATAAGTTAGTAAAGATAACAATAAAAAAAAACAGGTTACGGATCAATCCATTTAAATCCGTTTATTGGATAAGATTTGTCTTGGTCACAATCAAAATATGTTTTAGTTGTTCAAGCTAATCGAATTCGAACATGCGAGAAGTAAATAAAAACATTTTAAAAAAATTGTTACCAATAATTATTTAAGAATAAAAATAAATAGTTTATTACAAATTATATAAATAAATTTTTTAAAACTAAAAAAATATTTTTTAAATTAAAAAAAAATTATTTATATAAAAAATTTAAACAAATTTAAAATTATTAAATTATAAAATCTATAATAAAATATTTAATTTTATTCTCAAACATGTCTTATTTAAAACTTCCACTCTAAATCAATGGAAACTCACACCTTTGGTCTTGAGCCATCATATGCTTATAATAGTGTTAAAAATATATATTAAAAATGATAATGTGGTTAATTCAGTTTTATAAATAAATTACAAGTGAGAATTATTAACATAATTTTGCTTGTTATAATTTGCTAACATACTTTGTAAAAGAGGTAAATATATACTACTAAATCTTGTAAACATTTTATACAACTTGTATTAGGAGTACATTTACAACATCTACATGTTTTAAGATTCATCATAGATAATAATTTTCAATCTAATAGAAAACACGTGGATTTCGTTAGAAAGTCCTACAACCAACTGTCGAACTAGTTAGCTTAAAGTGTGGGTGGGTCACAAGTAGAGAAATGTAATTCAATCACGTTGACTTCGTTTTCCTCGATGACTTGGTTATCCTATCTCATGTGCAAGCCGTGAGATGTCAAAATAATCAAAGAGGGAAAAATATGAAATTATTGTTTATTAGTTGCAACTCCTGACATGCTTATCACATGTCAGATCTATGATATATATTTAATGTTAATTATTAATCAAATAAACTCAACAGATTGAATCTACAAATTAGACGAGTTGGAAATCAATAGGTGATAGTTTGTTTTGTCATTTTTTATATTTAATAATATAATGTTTTTATCCATACTTAAGTCTAAATTTATGAAGAAACTTTAATAAATAATATATTTAATACACTTATTTTAAGCTGTCCTATCTCTTTGATTTGACTGTAGAAAATTATTAATTTTAGTGATGTAAAAAGAATTGATTACACAAATACTCTAATAATAGGTTAATATGTTGCTCTAGGGATTATAAAGAAGGTCTAAACTCTAGATAAGAGTTAGTCTCACAAAAACTAAACGAGAGTTAGTTGACCAACTTTTAACCCTCACTATATATTATATTCGTAAAGGGGAATAATTCATTTTTTTTCTTTTTTACATAATTTATTTTCATTATTTTCTACTATTATTTTCTTATGTATATATCTCATTTATTTATTTATTTTCTTTTTAAAAATAAATAAATGGTTTTTTTCGTAATAATATGCAAAATCATAAACCCAAATAAAACACTCATTACGACTTCATACGTTTACTAATAGTGGAGTGTTCTACGGAATGATCCATTTGTTTATATTTGAAATTTGAAACACTCTCTTCTTCGTTTGAAAATGGAAGAAAGTGAAGAGTTGCGATCGATTCTGCCATTTCTTCCTCTGCTCGCGCGTTCTTCTTCTCTGTTTTGGCCCTCCCAAGCGGTGGAAACGCTCAGAGAACTCGGAGGAGGCCGAGTTGACTCGGGCCACCACTTGTTCCGATCCATTTCTCTCCTCAGAAACGCTCTTTCTCTCTCTTCCCAACCCTTATCCCCTTCCACTTCGCTTGGATACGCCCTTTTCTTCGACGAGGTAACGTAATTTTTCTTCCTCACTTTTCAATTTCATCATTTCAATTTGCGTACGTAACATGTATTTGTTTCAGCTTATGTCTGGAGAGGAATCTAGGAAGTGGTTTCAGGAGGTGATTCCCGCATTGGCCAATTTGCTCTTGAGATTGCCCTCTTTGCTGGAAGCACACTATCAAAACCCTCGTAATGCTATGCTCACAACAACTGCTCTTCGCTTATTGGATTCACAGCAACCGGGGATAGTCTTCCTTAGCCAGGTTAATTTCTTAAATGTTACTCTTTTGTATTTTTCACTTCATCTAAGTAACATTCTTAAATCACTTTACTTTAAACTTTAAAGTACACAAAATAGTAAAACTTCACTACTATTGGTGCTGCTATTGCCATTGATTTGAGGCAGCCACCGTTTGCATGACTAAGGCTGCTTCTACTGGCTTGCCTTTTTATTTTGTGGTACTTGATTGTGACATGCTTGCTGGTGATGGTTATCGTTAACATTATCAGTTTCTACTGCCATGCCATCTTATTGTATGATACATGATTGTAACATGCATTCACACGTGCTGAAGATGGTTATAATTAGCATTATCAATTTATGACTTTTCAGGAGTTGATTGCTGCTCTTCTTTGCTGCTCATTCTTTTGTCTATTCCCAGTCAATGGTAGACATGTGAAGCATCTTCCTATGATCAACTTTGATGAATTGTTTGCGTAAGAAAACTTTAGCTATATATATCTTAATTTAGATAATCATATTTCTCCTAGTTTGTATCTAGATGCTGTGTGACTTGATATATCTTAGATGCGTGCTTGTGTGAGAGTAGCTGTGGGAGTGAGAAAGAGTGCGAGAGCTAGAGTTGATATGGGTCTAGTTATATGAAGAAATTATTTTCTTATGTCGTATGTCATAATTTATTTATTTCTTGAAATCCAAGGGATCAACTTTTTATATTTTCAGGAGTCTGTATGAAGATTACAGTCAAAAACAGGAAAATAAGATTTGGTGCATCATTCACTATTTTCAAAGGATAAGTGCTAAAATGCCCGAGGGCATTGTCTCATATGAACGAAAAGTACTTGACTTAAAAAATGATTCTACTCACATTTCTTGCCCAGATGCTAACTTTTGGAGCACTTCTGCTGTCCCTCTATGTAGATTTGAGGTAATTGAAGGAAATTTTTTTAAACTGTCAGAAAATTAATATATTTTTGTATTTATTTTTAATTATTCATTTGGTTTGTAATAGGTAATCCTTTGATATTTATATAGGTTCACAGTGTGGGGCTCATAGAAGATCAATCAAGTGAAGCTGTTGAAGTCGATTTTGCAAATAAATATCTTGGGGGAGGTGCTCTTGGTAGGGGGTGTGTACAGGTGCGATATGTTTTTATTTCCACCTACTATAGCCATTTATACTTGGTTTTTTGTGATTATGATAACTTTTCTACCATAGTTCCCGATATAAGCATATTCATGCAGTCTTGTGTACATATTGTATTCATCACCTTTCTTCATTTTTTAGATTCTTTAAGTTGAGATATTTTTCTTTGTCACATGTTTGATAAATTTGGTTGTAAATGTATGATATAGGAGGAAATCCGCTTCATGGTCAGTCCAGAATTGATTGCTGGCATGCTTTTCTTGCCAGCCATGGCAGATAATGAGGCTATAGAAATTGTTGGTGTGGAAAGATTCTCAAGTTATAAAGGGTTAGTGCTACTTAATGGATATGAATTTCTATAAGAAATTGTTACTGTGGATGCATACTACTGAATTTATTTACTTAAAAAATGTGATGGGAGAATTTCTTTTCCATTCCTATTTGAATATGGAGGAAGAAAAACATGTTTATTGATTGTTACGCTTTGCGTACTGAATTTTCTAGTGTTTTAGTCTGTCTATTTTGACCAATAGTTTGTTGTTGCTTGAAACATTTCAGTTCTGTGTCTATTTTCTTCTCCTTGTTGTTTTGCTTGCGCACTTGCGTATGACAGATTTTTTTAATACTTAAGTTTATATCATCCCAAGAATATAAGACTGGACATTTTACTTTTAATTTGTGTTGGTGTATATACAGTACACATATGACAGGGTAACTAAATTAAGAAATCTCTTATTTTGATATGATGCCATATGTTTTTCAGTTGTTTACTTTATTCAGTGTTATAATTGCTGGGTGCTTCCTGCATAACCTAATGGTGATGATATTTCCTGATTCTTTAGGTACGCATCATCATTTCGATTTTCTGGTGATTATGTGGATCAAAGGAAAGTAGACACTCTTGGAAGACGGAAAACCAGGATTGTTGCAATCGATGCATTATGTAGCCCAGGGAGGAGACAATACAGGGCAAATTTTCTCCTCCGGTCTGTTAATATTGGTTTATGTGGCCACTGCTTTATGGGACTTTGAGTATATGCAAAGATAAAATTTATAATCTAAAATTCATCATGTTTGATGTGTACACTTTCAAATTTGCAATTGTTTGTAAAAGGTGTGTCTTGCATGCATGCATTCCTTGCAAGGTGGAAACTCTTTCTAGATTTGCCTTTAGTTTCTTTTTCTCAATCCTTTTGAAAATGTGCTTATTTCTACTACACAGAGTAGCTATTATAGTATCCACAAGAATTCTTCTTTCATAAAAACACAGCCTTCATGTTAGGTCAATTTATACCCTTAAATTAAGAGCCTTTAAAAAAGAAATCACTGGGAAAAATATTTCTAATATAGTAATATTTTACCCTTTAAGTATTTAAAACTGTTCAGGTGGTTATACAAAATAAAATCTAAACATAACTTGTTCATTCCTGCAGTGAGATCAATAAGGCATTCTGTGGTTTTCTGAACCAATGTAAATATCAACTATATCAGAAAATGTTGCAAGAGAATGGATGTTCATCTGCACTGGTTGGTCCTTCCCAGTGTTTTTTCTGTAAACAATGTTACTGGATGAGTGAATTTTAGGTTAAGCAAATTTATTTATTTATTAGGATCCAAGTATCTTCATTATCTCCATTGGTCTTTGCTCATTTATCTTTTTTGAACACTCTTTGATTCATAGTTTGATGCTGCCACCTCAACATCAATGGAAACAAGTGAAGGAAAATTTCCAAACCACAAAATTACAAATTCTCAAATCGATTACCATAGGATGGATCAGGGAAATATTATTGGGGTTGCAACTGGAAACTGGGGATGTGGTGCCTTTGGTGGAGATCCTGTAGTAAAGACCATAATTCAGTGGCTTGCAGCATCTCAGGTAATTTTATTTTTTTAGCCATCAATGTATGAGCGAATGTGGCACTTATAGTAGTGAGTGTTCTGACTGCATTATAAATTCTTGTGTTTACCCAATTACGAAAAATTCTCTTATTTTTCCTCTTTTTTTTCAAGAGTTGAAATATTTGCTAGGGTAAAGAGGACATTTAGGCATCTCTCTCCCACTAGTTATCTATGCTCAATTATGTACCACTATTTTAGCCCTTTTTGTGGTAAATTTGTTTATACGTTCTTGTTGTAAATGTTGAGGTCATACAGCTTATGTTTAATTTGAATCGGTTCTATATTTGATTTCTTTCTCCTTTTTGGATGATGAATAACGCAATTGAAGTATTGAAATTCTGATTGCCGGAGGATCACATGAGTCACCATATTGAAAAAGGTCGATGAAAATGAATTGCTGGAAATTGACTCAACAGAATAAGCTTGTGATTAATTATGCAAACTATTTCTTGAACTTGAAATTATGTGATTTTAGGCATAAGGGGTGGGGGGAAGATAGATGAAGAGAATGAAAACTGTATTGATATTAAATGAAATGTATTAGAATCTACTGACGTATTATAGTGTTTGATATTTTCAGAAAACCTAAAACACTACCCTTATATATAAGGAAACAGATCATAATGTAAGGAAATACGATAAGAAATCGTAAGAGATAATGAGGAAACTAAAGCTAAATTATAACATAAGGAAATATAGACACAAATCCTGCGAGAAAATAGCAGAAGCCAATCAAAGAGGATAATAAAGATATTTTAAGATACAATTAGATATTTTATATCTCTATTTCATAAATAGTTTTAAACTTATTTCTCAAAAGAAAAGAACAAATATTATGAAGCAGACAAGAGGGTGGTTGGGCATGGAGTTTTTGTATCTTGGTGGTTTTCTGGCTCACCGCATAGATATGGTGTGGTTGATTAGTCAAACTACTGGTGGTTTTGTGTAGTGGAGATGTGATGGTTAGGATGAGGAGGTGAGGAGTTGGATCAACCAGGTGGTGGATTAATCATACTTTGCAATTCTGTTTACCTTTGAATTATGATGCTTGAAAACCAACTTTTGTCTTGGTTCTTACCTAACAGGCTCTAAGACCTTTCATAGCATATTACACATTTGGGTTGGAGGCATTACAGAGCCTAGATGAGGTAATTTGATCTTTCTTCTGTTATCGACCCTTGGCTTCCTGATAGGCATCTGCATTGAAATGTGTCATTTAATCTGATTGATATTTGCATTCAGCATTTATGACTAAAGTGGCATAAACTGGATTTGAAGATTTGCATAATTGAAACTTCCTTCCTAACTCGTTTCATTGAGTGGTAATTCTATCCATGAATCAATTATCTTCATGTATCCAAGTACCAGGAAGATTCCCACTCAATTTGGACTAGTCTTTCCGTGAAGATTTCTTGCTAGTTAATTTGATTGATGTTGTGGCAGGTTGCTCATTGGATTTTGTCACAGAGATGGACAGTTGGGGACCTATGGAACATGTTAGTTGAGTACTCAACAAATAGATCGAAAGGAGAAACTCATGTCGGTTTCCTTCAATGGCTACTGCCATCAATACATGGCCATGGTACTGGGATGGATTTGTCAAATCTGGCTTAATCTTCTGCTGTTGAACGTCTTTCTCCTTTATCAGCGTTATGATTCTCTCTCCAAAGAACGAACTGGGAAAAGGAAACATTTTTCAGGTTTTTTATGTCCAATGAAGGAAAAGTACAGGGTAACCATTGTTGATCCGAGTCCTCCGGGGAGGAAATATCCTTGTTGGTGGCAAATATACGTTTTACTTAAATTGTCAGAACTCAGCAGCAGCCAAAATTTTATCTCTTATCTTGATCAGGATTCCAATTTCTTGTTTCAAAGTGGTGCAGCCACATATTTTTATTATCACCCCAGCTGCACTATTTCAGCCGTAGTGAAGTGTGATGAGGCAGAATGATTTGTTAATCACTAGCTGGGGGATTTCATCGATTAAACTTGAACTCGGCCATACCTTCCCTTGGTTTCTCAGTACTCTCTTCAAAACTGTAAGGCACTTCCCTGAACTAGACAAGATAAGCCCAAACCTAAATCTACGGTGGTTTATTTTGAGGAGGATTGCTGCTGACAAGTTTTACTGGGACATCAAGGACCAAAGACTGACAATGCCATTCTTGTTAGCTGTCAAGTAGCTTTGCCCTTGAGAACTTCTCCATGTAGTTGCCAAATCTCTGAATGCATATGTAATCAAAATATTGTAGAATATCACCTCATTTATTTCTCTATTTTGGTGTGATCAACCAGTTCGGCAAAATCATAACAATAACACCCCTACTTGTGATAACCTGAAATTGTAGCTAGCATATAATTCTTTTTTTTTTTTGAATCTAATATTAATTATCATATTTATTAAATAAAATATGTAATTTTGATAATAGTATCAAATATTACATTTATTAAATTAAATTTATCAAATTAATTAAATAATATTATATGTATATTAGACACTTAGCTTTTTTAAAATCTATATATTCCATCACTAAAAAAAATATATCAATATATATTAAAACAAATTATTAAATAAAATGTAATTATTACAAAATTTAATACTTATATATAAAACTACATATATATCCACATGTTTATTAACATCAATTTTAAATGTATATTCATTATTTTATTCTTAATTATCATTTTAACAATTAATATATATATTTTTAAATTAACTGGATATTTAAAAATATATATCTGTTGAGTGAAGAATAGATTGGTAACTTAATTCTTTTAGTATATACTTATAAAAAATATTTGTAAAGAATATTCTTTAATAGTTTTAAACTAAATAATATATTTTAACATAGTTTAGCCATACACGCAGCCATTCTGTGCATTTGCTATGTAAATGATTGATGAAGAGCGAAATTTGAGAGACCATGGAAATTCACAATAGCTAGGATTCCTGCTGCAGAATGGACACAACAAATTTGCCATATCTACCCCAAGGGATTCGTTCTTTGTCTCCGTCATGGCCATCCCGAGTCCTCAAAATACTGACTGAACTCGGGAGCGGGCGAGTCAACTCGGGTCACCACTTGTCGCTCGCCATCGCTAACCTCCGAGACGCTCTTAATCTCTCTTCCAAGTCTGTAGCTCCCACCGCTTTCGATGGCTATGCTCGCTTCTTCGACCAGGTTATGTCCCGAGACCAATCTAGCAAGTGGTTCCAAGAAGTGCTTCCCGCATTGGGGAATTTGCTTCTCAGGTTCCCCTCTTTGTTGGAAACGCACTTTCGAAATTCTGATATGGATGTACATGGAGACGGAACCGTCGTCACAACTGCTCTTCGCTTATTGGATTCACAGCAACCGGGGATCGTCTTCCTTAGCCAGGTTAATTCCTTGTTACACCTTTTTAACTCTCTTTTTTTTTTTTTTTTCAGTCTTTTAGTTGTGGAATTTTGTTTGGAAATCCTATTCCTTCGAAATAAGAATAACTTTATTTATTTATTTATTTTATTAATATTTTTCACTGCAACGACATCGAAATTGCTCGCTTGGCAACTGCTATGTTGACATGAACGCTGAAAATGGTTGTTATATGGTTAAGTGACGTTTTTTGCTTTTAAGGAGTTGATTGCTGCTCTTCTTGGCTGCTCATTCTTCTGTCTCTTCCCAGTCAGTGAAAGACGAACGACGCATCTTCAAAAGATCAACTTCGATAGATTGTTTGCGTACGAAATCTTTTGCTATTATTCAACTATTCAGTTGTTTCTTAATTTTGATAATATGTTTCTCCTAGTGGTGTCAAGAGGCTGCAACACTTTATACGTGTTGTGTGAGTAGCTGGACGGGATAGAATGACAGAGAGAGATGGAATGGTCTAGTCCATGTTGAAGACTTACAGTGTCATTTCACTTGTCATAACATTTTTTCTTCATGAGACTCAAGAATTCTATGCATTTTCAGGAAGACCAGAAATGGTTACACTCAAGAACAGGATAATAAGATTTGGTCTATCCTTCACTATTTTCAAAGGATATGTTCTGATATGCCTAAGGGCATGGTCTCATTTGAGCGAAAAGTACTTCCCTTCAAGAATGATTCTATTCACATTTCTTATCCAGATGCTAACTTTTGGAGCACTTCTGTTACACCTCTATGCAACTTTGAGGTAATTGAAGGAATTTATTTTCAATTGTCAGCAAAACTATTTTTCTTTTTTTTGTTTAGTTTTCTTTAAATGCTCCATTTGGTTTGTGATAGGTAATAGGTAATACTTTAACATTTTAATAGGTTCACTATTCAGGAGGCATAGAAGATCAATCAAGCGAAGCTGTTGAAGTAGATTTTGCAGATCCATATTATGGGGGCCTTGTTCTTGGCATGGGGTGTTTACAGGTGCAACATGTTTTTATTTCTACCCATAACCTTTTATGCTTAGTTTTTTACAATTACGATTGCTTTTATGTTGTTGTCCCTGAAATAAGCATATGCATGCAATCTTGTGTACATGTTGTATTTAGCACCTTTCATCGTTTTGTAGATTCTGTAAATTGAGATCTTTTTCACCTGAACATTTGGCCTATTGATGATGTTCAATAAGTTTGCTTGTATACATTTGATATAGGAGGAAATCCGGTTCTTGATCAGTCCAGAATTGATTGCTGGCATGCTTTTCTTGCCAGCCATGGCAGATAATGAGGCTATAGAAATTGTTGGTGTAGAAAGGTTCTCAAGTTATACAGGGTAAGGTTCAATTAATATTATTGATGTTCATTATTATCTATATTTGCATAAGAAATGTGGTGAAAGATTCTTTTTTTAACATTTCAATTTGAACTTGGAGGAACAAAATCATGTTTATTGATTGTTATGCATAGTATAGTGAACTTTCTCCTGTTTTTTTTTGTGCACACGTTGCAAACTGTTTGTTGTACCTTGAACCATTAATTTATGTTTTTTTTTTTCTTGGTTTTTGTTTGTCTGCTCAGTTGGTTTTGACAGTTTTTTAATACTAAAGTTTTCATCCTTCCAAATATATAAAGATTGAACATTTTACATTTATTGTGATGTGATGATGATATAGAGTATGAATATGATAGACTGAACTAAATACCTACTTTGATGTGTGATGTCACCTTATATGTTTCCATCTGTTTGCCCATTGTTGCTATAATTATTGGGTGTGTATGCTAAGTATAACATTCCTGATTTCTTTAGGTACTCGTCATCATTTCAATTTTCTGGTGATTATGTGGATGAGAGGGATGTAGACACCCTTGGAAGACGAAAAACCACGATTGTTGCAATTGATGCATTAGAAAGACCTGGGATGAGCCAATACATGGCGGATTCTATCCTCCGGTTTGTTAATCTTGGATTATGTGACTACTGTTTTTTGGCTTTTTAGGATGCAGAGTCACTGTTATTTATGGGAGTAGGAAATTATACAAGAATAAAATTTATGATCTAAAATTCATTACCTCCAATGTTTGCACTCTGAAATTTCTTATTGTTTATGAAAGGCATGTTATACATGCGGGCATTCTGTGGAAGGTAGAAGAGTATCTTTTTTCTCAATCCTTCTGAGAATGTGTGTGGTTTCACTACACCGTTCTTGTTCCTTCGTAATATATATAATTTTTTTTTTCAAAAAAAAAGCTTTCTTTTTGTTGCTCAGTTTTATACCCATAAATTAGTAGACTTAACAAACGAAAATGTTGTGAAAATATTTATAGATAATTAGTAATTTTCCCTTCAATTATTTAACAATGCTCAATTTAATTGTATAAAACAAACTCTGAATGTAACTTGTTCATTCCTGCAGTGAGATCAATAAAGCATTCTGTGGTTTTCTGTTCCAGTGTAAATATCAACCATATCAGAAAATAATGCAGGAAAGCGGATGTTCATCTGTACTGGTTGGTCTTTCCCATACTTTTCTGTAAAGAATGACACTATATATAAGGTTAAACAACTAATTAACGTTAAATTCTCACAATATTTTATACTTGAATCCAGTTATATATGTCTCTGTTCATCTATTATTTTGAGCACTCTTTGATTCACAGTTTAATGCTTCCACCTTAACATCTATGGAAACAAGTGAATGAAAAATTTCAATCAACAAAATCAGAAATTCTCAAAATTATTTCCATATGATGGATCAGGGAAATAATATCGGGGTTGCAACTGGAAACTGGGGATGTGGCGTCTTTGGAGGAGATCCTGAAATAAAGACCATAATTCAGTGGCTTGCAGCTTCTCAGGTAGTTTTAGTCATCAATGTATGAGTATGCGGGACATATCATTGTGTAGTTATCTGAATGTAGTAGAAATGCTGATGTTCCTGTAGAAAAATCAACTTATTTTCCCTGCCATATTTGCAATAATTTTAATGAGTTAAAATATTTTCTATGGTAAAGGTCATATTTGGGCATCCTTCTAATTTTGATAAAATGAGAGAAATTGATAAAAAATTTATATAGGCATCTCAGCATCTGTTTAATTATATATCACTATTTTTTCCCTTTTATGCGTTAAATTTGTTCATTCATTATTGTAAATGCTGATGTGGCATATAATTATGTTAAAATAGTTTGCATTTTATATTTGTTTTTCTTCTTTTGGATGACTAATAATATGATTGAAATATAGAAATTTGATTGCTGGAGGACCACAAGAATATATTAATTCAAAAAGGTTGATGAAAATGAATTGTATGAAATTGACTCAACTAAATTGGGTGTGATTGGTTATGCAAAGTATTTGTTCAAATTATGTGGAAATTTACTCAAAAAAATAAGGGTGTGATTGATTATTCTAAGTATTTGTTGAAATTATGTAGTTTTTCGCACAGGGAGAGGAAGAGAGAGAAAATAGAATGAAATACGGTATTGATATTAATTAAAATGTATTACAGTAATTGTACTGATGCATTGTTTTGTTTTGATGTATTAATGAAACTTAGAACACTAACCAATCAAGATCCTAGTAATGAGGAAAAAACTCATGATATGATATGGAAATATGTTACGCAAAGAAAATAAGAAAACTGATGCTATATAATAACATTAGGAATATAGTAACAAATTCAAGAGATAATAAGGAAATAGGAAGCAATCCTAGAGGATAATTCTGCCTGTCTAGGGAAACTTATCATGCTTGAAGTCCAATATTACAGGCTCGAAGACCATTCTTATTATACTACACATTTGGCTTGGGGGCATTGAAAAGCCTACACGAGGTAACTTGATCTTTGCCTTTGAAGTGTTATTATGAATGACTGTCCCATTATCTGCCTTACTTCCTTCCACTTGGACTTATCTTCTTAAGAAGTCTGACTAGGGACTTCGCTTGATGTTTTGGCAGGTTGTTCATCGGATTTCGACGCAAACATGGACAGTTGGAAACCTATGGAAGATGCTAATTAAGTACTCAACAATGAGATCAAAAGGAGAAACTAACGTCGGCTTCTTCCAATGGCTCCAGGAACGGTAAATATATGGTCATGGTGTTACTTCAATCTTCTGTGTTCAACGCCTTTTTCTTTTATCAATTCACCAGTTTTAGTATCCGTGAATGTTTGGGGTTATTCATACTAAGTTAATTGATTAATGTTATTCATAGTTATTAAGTTAAGAATACATCGTTGTCAATAGTAAGAGAATTAATTGATATTATCACTGAAAGTGTTTTGATGTCAGTTTTGGGACCTTAATATTTGTTTTTATGTCATAATAGGGTGCGTCTATTCTTGCTGTATTCAGAAACGGAATAAATAAGTTTAAAGAATAAGCTATGATTAAATATAAATTTTATCACAATTCATTAGCTGATATACTTTTTGTGAGATATTTATCCTTGAACTGTGTTTATGCATATTTTTAATACTAATAAAAATGATTATATGAAATTTTTTATATCTAATTTAAGAATGTAAATTACAAAAGATCGTAATTTGTCTAATGCTTAAATTTTTATAAATGTTGATTATTTGACTTAAGTCTTAATTTCTCTTCATATTTTCTTAAACATAAAAAAATATAGATTTTGTAGTAAAGATTACGTGAACGTGAGATAATTCTTCTATCTGATACCAAAGACGATACGATAAAATATCTGTTGATGAATATTTAAGATATTAATTAGGGATATTTAAATGAATCAACGTGAGTTTAATCTACTTATTTTATGACGAGCTAAATATTTTATAATCTAATTCAATTTATGATGGGTTAATGGATTAAATATATATATATATATATATATATATATATATATATATATATATATATATATATATATATATATATATATTTTTTTTTAATAAGCATGATTGAATTGTAGGACTAAAGTGATACAACTGAAATACGATAAATATTATAATATAATTAAAGTACGGTGATGCTGACGAATGTAATGGTGTAATAAATGTCGTGACAGAACAAATACTATAATACGATACTGAAATATTATGATGCGTGATTGAGTGGTATGACGAATGAATAATTGATAATAAATTTGAACATGATTTGACTTAAACTTGTGATGGGGAGTAGAGGTAAAAAAATAAATAATATCAATTAAGGTTACATTTCATATTAATTTCCAACTAATAATAATAATATATATTTGTAATAAACTAAACTTATTAGACATTAATATAAATTTAGATAAATTGTTTACCCTCCAATCGAAGCCAATTAATTTTTTGTTATTGCTTGTTTCACTTAGAATCATAACACACCATTATTTATTGTTTTCACGCTGAAGACGTCTTTAAATTTGCTGCAAAGGTTTCCTAATTATGCAAACACACCGTTCAATCTTTATATTGTTTCTGAAAGTTATGTTGAGATACTACTGAGCAAAATAGTTAACGCATCATGAGGCTCAAATAAATTTTGACAAGATCCAATTAACAATTTTGGTTTTATAATAAAACATTTGTTTATCATGTTTATATTATTTAATATAATAATTATTTTAATAAAATCTTATTATAAATATGACAAATAAATTTTTTATAATTATTATTTCTTATACTATTAATAAGAATAGGATATAGATAAATCTCATTAATTTATATAATAGAATTAATTTTATTAATTTAAATATAACAAATTCAAATTCACATATTGTTCATGAAAATATAGTTTCATTAAATATTAAAAGATTTTTTATTTTTTGGAGTAAAAAAATATTATTTTAATTTAAATAATTATTAAAATGTGGTTAATGTGTGATATTTTATGATATTATAAATTACAGTTCATTCAAAACAAAAAAAATGTATGATAGTGCTTTAAAACTGTAATCATATTCCATAAATCGACCCTATTACACGTCATAGGAATTTCTCGTTAAAAAAAAATTGTAATTAATAACCAGAACGTCTATTTTAGTCAGTCTTGACTAAAAAAGCCAAAAAAGAGAAACCTTGTTAGTCAGCCATGACGAACAAAAAAAGAAAAACCTTGTTAGTCAATCTTGATTTAAGTTTTAAAAGTATTCATCAACAAAACTGCATATGATCAATCCTTTTCACATTAATATTATTGATTTGAAAAGTTGAGTATTTTTGCATGATCAAGAAATATTATTGACTCCTTGAAGTAAAAATAACATTGCATGAATGTGATCCAGTAACACAAATATAACAGATATAATACGATGCATTTGTCATCAATATTGACACAATTTAAACGAAAATAATAAAAAGGAATAATTTACACAGAAATCTGTGAATTCCAAAATTAATCCTAGGCTGATGTATTGCATTCCATGATCTATCTCTATGGACTAGTACAAACCAATTTCTCTAATATAAGTACAGAAGGGCAAATACACAGAAAATATCGCAAAACATCCGCTGAGGTCAAAGGTAGTAAATTACGGATATGGTTAGGAAAGAATTTGCCAAAATCAACCCAGAAGACTCAAGCAGACCAGTTCGCTTCTAACCTACTGAGTGAATTGGTGTACTAAATAACTATTGTGAAGGACAACTAATTACCGACAAATTACTTTACAAAATATACAAACATGCTTAAATAAGGCAATGCAGTAGAAAATTGCAGATCAATGCTCGTTCTTAACTCTTGCCTTCAATATTCCAGGGAGTGGTGGAGATGAAGGAGGTCTAGTTGGAAGGTTTGAAGCTGAAGTAGGAACCTGTGCATGATACAAGCTTGACATGCTAGAACCTTCACCGCCATCCGTAGGATTGTCTGGTGTGTTATCATTCTGAGATCTCTCACAAAATTTCATTGCCTTGAGAACATAGTTATCATCATGCAGCTCAAAGGGGGTGCTATAGAGATAGAATGAGTAAATAGGAAGTAAGCATACATAAAAAAATAGAATTATAGAAATTTATAATAACAAAGATGAGACAAAAATGACATAAATCTATACTGCCTTGATAACATAGTTATCATCATGCAGCTCAAAGGGGTGCTATAGAGAGATAGAATGAGTAAATAGGAAGATACATAAAAAAATAGAATTATAGAAATTTATAATAACAAAGATGAGTAAAAAATGATATATGGATCTATACTTTAAAAAATGACACGTATTTCTCAACGCAGACCATTCTAGTATACATGGATGATTGAAGGTATTATCAATACAAGAGAATTAGGATAGCATTCAGGACAGCAAATGGATAAGATAACATCATTACTCTGACAGAGACAAAGTTGTGTGATCAAGCCTTCTCACCTATTGAAATCAAAATGCACAAGCTGCATATCTTCTGATATTTCCACTTCAACAGTTGCATGAGGACGTGTCTGCAAGCTCAAAATAATATTAATTAAGAACATGTTTGAGTAAACTACTTAATTGAATACTTATTCACAAGTTTGACGATGAAACTTTTTGAAATAAGCAAAAAGCATATTACAAGAAGTTTATCCTTGAAACTTAACAAGTTAAAAAGTTCTTACAAGACGTTCATAGGCTCAAATTAGTTCTTCCACACACCCACTAAAAACCTAAAGTAACACCATGAAGAGCTACACCATAGCAATTTCCAATCGAATGCTATATATATATATATATATATATATATATATATATATATATATATATATATATATATATATATATATTTCTTTAGTTAATTCCTTTCTCTGTTAAGGGGTGAGCTGGTTCTTCCTAAAATTGAAGAATTTGAAAACCTTCGTAGTCAAAATCTATCATCATAAATCCTGTATAGAGATATCCACAACCCTAGAGCCGAAAAAGTGACCAACTTAATCAGAGCAAAGAGAACTCAACAGTGTAAGTATTGTTAATAACCATAGCAACTAAATTTATTCAGTTGACAAATTCTAAAAAACGTTCGTAACAATGGTGGGAAAAAAAAAGATTCTGGTTAATTTACCCAAGAAGCAGTAGTGAGGTCTTATCTGATAATAGATCACTTCCAATCTAAACCTCAAGGCTTAAGCCAACAGATTAAGTAAATGGTGGTTATATCAGATTTAAGAACAATAAGATATAAGAATTATCTGATAAAGATTCAAAGGGGAAAAATTAGAAACAATTTCTAGTAGACAAAATATCCGAAAAACAGTACATCATAGCATACCTGCACCAGAATGAAAGGTAAAGATACACCCCCATTGGGAGCATTCCCGGAGCTATATAATTGCTCATTTCGTTGTATAAGTTTCTGAAGACCTATGTACTTCATAAATTAATACAACAGTTAGCAAACAGAAATTAATTATCATGGATAAAAATCCATACGGCCTTCTCATAAAACAGTTGCAAATTTTAAAATGCAAACTAAGCATCGGTGTTCAGTCCCAAGATTAAATCCACTATTGAGAAGCACTTACTTGTTCTTCCAGCTCTTGCAAATAGGCCGCTTTCTTTTCAATTCTATTCCTTAGCCCCATACGCTCTGTCTGTTGAATGAGTTAAACTTATCATTTATATTGTAGTTCTTAAAATAGCCGAGAGCATCACAGCAGGAAAGTACAAGCTACTTAGAAAAAACTCAATACTGTTTGCAAACCTTTAGCTCCTCAATATCGCTTAGACTTGTGCGAGGAAGACCCTTCCATTGTATTTCCTTTTTATCCTTAGAAATAATATCCATTGCCATGAGAACATTCAAAGCATCATACACCCTTCGACGAATGTTTTTCTCGTCATATTGTTGCTGTCAAATGTTAACCCCCAAAAAATAAGTCCACAATATTTATCTTTACAGCCAGTCTGAGACAATTTATACAAAAGGAAAAACCTGATCAGGAGTTGAAACACCATTGCTTGGATCAGCAAATTCAGCTACAAGTTCATCAGCTACCTAAATAAAAGCACAATCCACATTAAATTTTTAAAAATAAAGAATTGGTATTACATTTGAGGAATTCAAACCAGAATATATGGCAAGTTGAATTACAAAAATGACATGAAAACACTATATACAGATTATAGTTCTTGAATAATTCTCAAGAACATCTTATAGGCATCTAAGAAGTCAACGGCTACAACTCACATAGATCATGGTTATGCTGGATAACCACAAAAATATGATGAGTAAAAAATGAATAAAAACTCAGGAAATTCAGAGGAGAATTCCCTTTTAAAACCCAAAAGTAATTTTTCAATGCAAACAATTTAAATTAAGTACAATGCATTTGAACTCAAAACATGCATGTGAACATGCAAATGCATTGACAAAAATATATTAAGAAATTAATTGAAGAAATGCAGAAGCTATAGCGCCCATTCATTTTCCGTGCATATGCTGTATAAAACTGAATCAAAAAATTAATTCCAGATTAGCACAAACTAACTGACAGTAACTGGCTGACCTCATTGTAAGTTGTTCTTCCCTTGCTTTCTACCTTCTCGCAGACTGGACAGCCAATAAATGAAAACAAAACCAGTTAGGAAATATATAATAATGACTCCTCAAAAATATGAAAATCTAAGGAAAAAAAAAGAGAACTAAATACCACTGATGCAAATTTTGAATTAGAGCATGTCTAGTAATATTTCTGGGGGAAAATTAATTTATATTCATAAGTTCTCTGAAAAATCTGCTAAAATAAACTAAGTTTTTTTTTTCCAAAATAAATTAAAGGGCAAAGCATTCTACATGCAACTTTGAAAGGGCAAAGCTATTAACTACAAAAGGTCAAAGAACATTTTCGTTAAATAAAAAACTGTCAAATTGGAGTAAGTTAAAGACCTTTCATACTAAATTGGCGGAGACCTCTTCCACTCTTATCACCACCAACAGCGCGTTGGCCTCTCTTTTTCTTCTTGCTACTGGTTAAAAGCTCAAAATGGGTAAGAATATCAGATATATATATATATATATATATATATATATATATATATATATATATATATATATATATATATATATATATATATATATATATATATATATATATATATATATATATATATATGTATATCATATACAGCATATAAGGGAATTCTGAAACCACAGGCAGATAATTGACACGAGCAAGTAATAGATAGAATTTCATGCCCAATATATCATTCATAGAGTATTTAGTAGATAATTTTAAAAGGAAAGCATTAACATTACTTACTGCCCAAAAAGATCTAAGTTAAGCATATAAATACACTTTCATATCCTTCTACTTAACTATAAACGAGCCTAAGATGATTTCAATGTCATACTCAGCGGATAAGACATAAAAGAAAAACTTCTCATGTCAGGAGACAAATTAAAAATGAAAAAAAAAAAAAAAAAAAAAACTCTGAAAGCACTGGATCACAGTAAAACAATACACACTATACAACTGCATGCTCACAAAAATTCAAATAGCCTTCTATTAAATTTTGCCACATATTCTAAATTGCATACAAATACTCAATCAATTCTGAGTGACTCTACAGCAAATGACTAACAAAAAAAAAACAGATAAACATCTGACTATGAGTGTCACAAAACTACACACTATGCGAAATGCATCAAGAATTAAGAACTTCATACATCACAACATTTCCTGACATTTTTACATTTAAAAGGCTACTGCAAAATCCTCGAGTTCAGACAGGGTTTGCTCTTCAAAATGCAATTGTAGAGGAAGACAAGTCTTTAAATTGTCCAAAGATACAGACAGGAAAAAAAATATTACATGGGAATGCTTTTATTTTCTCATAATATCTAAAAGGTCTAAATTCTTCCACTAAGAGGGCTCTCTAGAAAAATGAAAGAAGCAGATGAAATTATAACTTCACTAAAGAAGACCATCTAATTATTTATTTAAGATTGCAAACAAAGAGAAAGCTTGACAAAATTTGTCACACTCTCATCCTTCATGGGGATTCAAAAGATATTTCATGATGATCCATCAAATAAGTGATTGTTTTAACTGTTTTCCTTTTCTAATTTGATTTTTATGAAGCTTGTCCGAGTAAATATTTAAGAAATTGTGTTAAAAATTATCCAAATCAATGTCAAAGCCCACAAACATCAAAAGAAAATTCACAAGTCAAAGAGCATCTGCTTCACAGCATATCACATAATTATATGTTTATACAAGCTCAAAGGCTAATGAGAACTCACGCAACTGCGCCCTGTGATCCAGCATCATCACCATGTATGTCAAGATGATTTAACCTAAGAAAGGTGTTATCACTAGCTGGTGTTGCCATTGTCTGCTCACTCCGGCTGGACGGTGACCCAACACTTCTGCTAGTTGACATTGATTGACCTGAGATCGTAGTTCCACGGCCTGGAAGCTCCTCCTCCTCTTCCTCCCGAAATGTTTGCTGGGGTTGTATTCCCATGTTGGTAACTTGCTTACCAATGGAAACTGAATTCAATTGAACAAGTGTTTCAAGGCAAAGCTGAACTTCTCAGTGTTAACTCTGTGAACAAAAACTAACAGTGCTTCCAGCATCAGCATAAGCTATCATGTACTATAACAGGGGTAAAAGAAGATAATCCTGTATCCACCAAATTGCAAACACAAAAGCGTAGACACAAACCATCAACCGGTTCCACACACATTCACACCGCAAACTATTTAGTGAAACTGTATAAATAAACAAAGAGAAGTTGCATTTGTTCAATTGATTTGTACAGGAAAAGCAAAGATAAGACAAAATAAAAGTGTTAGATAAGACGATGCGACAAAGAGAGATTAAAATTAAAAATTAGTACTAGAAAATCTTTTGCAAGTAATAAAAGTCAACAATTTTATTAAGACCTAATGTGAATCTTGCACTGAATTGAAACCTGTCCAAATAATGAAACACGTTTTTTCCAATTCTTAATGTTTTAAACCATTATACGATAAGAGAACGAATATGAAAATTTGAAGAAGCCATAATTGAGAAAACAAGGACAAATTAGGCGCTCTTGGACGTTATTAATCAACACAGAAGCAATCAGATAAATAGAAAGTTCCAGAAATTAAAGCTACGAATACTCACCAAAGAAGTTGAGTTGTGTCGACCTCAGAATCAGAGAAGACCTAATGTTGAAGATGAAGGAAAATCGAAAGAGAGAGGGACCACCGGAACAAGTGTTTGCGTGTGCGAGAGAGAAAGAAAAAGGACGCGAGCATGCTTAGGTTTTAACATGTTTTAAAAACCGTACCGGTCCGGTTCAGTAAACCGGTCCATTAGAAAAAAAACAAAACACGATATTTTTTTAGATAGCCAATATTTTTTTTATCGAATCTGAAGCCCAAGCGAAATAGACGCAAGATATATTTTCCGACTCTTAACACTTGCCCTAAGAGAAGGTACTGCCACCGCCGAGAAACGATAGCACAGTCGCCGGCAGCGCCGCAACCCACACTTCAACCCTAAACACACACCGCAGGTAATGGCGTGTTATCGTTAGTTTGTGGTTTTTTTCACTCCAATTTTTCTTCGAGAATACTATTTTTAATGATTGATTTTTTATCTTTGATGAGGTATCACTCGCAGCAATAATCATTGAATGAACTGTGTAACGAAATCTTTATCATGATCATTTGTGGAATGGCACTGTTATGAAAATAGTTAGTTTGAGTCGAAAGCATTTGCTGAATCGCTGAATCGCTGAACGGTAGAATCAGGGAGGGAAAATGAACGTCATGATTACAGTTTATGAAATTATTATCTTGCAAATCGTTCAGGATAATTTATTATACTGATAGAATTTAAATTAAAATTTATATATTGTATTTCAAATTTATAAATAGTTTATGCATTTTTATGTAAGATAGAGATTTTTTAATTATTGATATTTTTAAAAATTATTAATACAGATATAGAAAATAAACATGTAAAAAGATTAAATATATAAATGAAGATAATGAATGATGATAAATAATTTTTTTTCTATTTTTCTTTTAGAAAACAAAACAAAATAACTTTATTTTTTATTTTTAAGTTTATATTTCTTTAACTTTGATGAATTGTATACGTTTAATGATTTTTAATAGCGAAACAGGTCCTACGGCGTCGTTTTACTAAATTGTAGTAGGAATGGGCCTAAATAGGGTGTGGCCCAGTCCCCGGTCGTTAAGTTGTAGACTCCATCGTGATTGTAGCCACGAGCTGACAGTTACAAACGCACTCTTGCGGACACACAGATGTCACACTTTTTCTAAAACCAAATTGCCGTTTCTTTTTTAATCGTCATCTCTGTTGGGAGCAAAGTTGCTAGCTTTCATACCCTCTCTCTCTTCCAAGATTGTTCAATCATAGATTAAAGATAGGTCCAACTTTTATCGAAAATTTTCAGTGGTATGCTATTAACGCGCAATATTACATTGTTATAAATTGTTGACCACCCAAGTTTAATTCCAGGGTAATGTTACGAATTGCAAATTGGTAACCATAATCGAAATTCTTCATCTTCTGCTTTCAGGAAATTTATTATTTGGTTCCAGATTTTGGTTTGTTGTATTCAAGGGAGCCTGTGCTACTGTTCTCGACCTAATCGATTCCGTCATGGACCCTTTTGATGATTTTCTACCTATGGCTCCTGTTGCACGCAGTAAGGGCTTCACACCAATGATTCGGGGAAGCTTTCTGTTTTTTAATTCATCGTGCTTATGTCAAATGGCTTTATTATTTTCTTTTGTAGCTCGTCCGGGCGCCAAGTTTGTTCCAAAGGCCAAACCGAAACAGCGGCTTCCAAAGGATGTACCTGCATCGGAACAAGCTACCTCGTCTAAAGATGGAGTTTCTGAGAATGAATGTCAAAATGCAATTGCTTCAGCATTAAGTGTGCCAGTGGACGAATCTATGGGATCCATTCATCATATGCTGGTAGAATTTCCAAATTCTGAAACGGGAAATCCTAAACAATTTAGAGTCGAGGGAGATAGTGCAGCCTTGGTGGATGATTGCTCGATCACAGCATCTGCAGTTGATGCTCATCAGAATTCTAAAATCTTTTTAGAATCAGCATGTGAGGTAAATGTCACTTTTATTGATGATTTTATTGATTCAATGCTATGTATTATACGTAACCTCTGTTTCCTCGAATTGTTTTTCAATTTTAGGCTGATCCAGTAGATTATAATGGGGACTTGACTTGCTTCGTTTCTGAGACCAACCTCGATAATGGTAAGTTTTGTGTTTACATTGCTTGTCTGTGAAACCACTTCTCTTCATCCCAGACTTATACATGTCACAGTGTGAGTCATCACTTGAATTAAATTTGGTATGATTCATTCGTGTCTATCGTGTGGTTTAGGCACAACACAACCAGTTCACCCTAATGTTGTAGAAAACGAATTGAATAATGTGGCTGCTCCATTTACAACTTGCTCAACCATTGATAGGATCAAAGAACCACCTAAAAATGGGGAAGGTTCAGTTATTGATAGCAATCAATGCTTGCCACTTAATGACAACTCATTACAAGTTGGCACGGATTTGGGCTTCAATAGTGTTTCAGATAATAACGTTGCAATGATTCAGACGGTTGATTCAAATTCAAACTTTGGAAAAAGAGAAGAGGTGGAATTTTTAATTTTGTATTTTTGGTTTTTTCCCATTTAATTCTACAGGTTGGGTGTGATAAATTTATGGGAATACTTTTCAGGTAGTATCTGCAGAAATTGAATTGGATCCTTTTAATGACATCCTCCCTGATGCTCCTGCTAGGAATGGTTAGTGATATAAATGATTTTTTAAATAATTAAATATGCTTCGTATCACTGAAAAGATTAGCTATCTGTATTTGTTTTCTTTATTGTAGTTCATAAATTTAAACCCAAGATTAAGCCACGACCTAGAGTAGGCAATTGGCCTGGAATTACATCTGCTTCATCTAAAGTTATGATGGAAAAACATGTTGAGTTACCTACTTCATGCACAAACGACTTTCAATCTTTTAAGTCTAGTTGTGTGCTAAACCAATCAACCAGTTTACCTTTGCCAACATCAGAGATTGTTAGGACAAATGATGTACCTCATAAGTTTGATGATTCAAGCTCAAATATTCCAATATCTGAAGACAGTAATAGTTTGGCAGCAGCAATTCCTTCCCAATTGGATTCCCTAAATGCTATGCTTTCAGAGAATGCAGTTCATAATGGTACTAGAGATTGGCATTCTAGCTTTGGTAAATCATCTGGAGAGGTAATGATAAAAGTAGTATCTGTTGTTTTTTTATTTAAGTAAGTTGCTAAATAAATATTGATAGATTTTATACATACAGGCTGCAGATATTTTTTCTGGGTTGGAATCTCTTGATGACTTTCTCACCCAACCTGCCACTGATACAGGTGAGTTACAATATTCCTTGTGATTTATCAAATTACAAAACTCTCTTCATACTTCTTCACTATAGCTTTCAAGAGCTTCACTAAATCTCACTGTTACAGTTAGCTGACTCCCAGCCAACTGTAATTTGTAATGAGTTTACTCAGTGGTGATTGGAAAAATTGTGTAGGAAAACCAGCTCTTCATTCTTTCAATGAAAAGGCTGCAGAGGAAAATTTTGTCACACCTGGTTGTAGTTCTATTAACTCTTTTGGCGAATGTGATACTATCCAAAGATGTCCTGAATATCATACACCACAAGATCCATTAACCTTCAAGAAAGCTGCTGTCGTCAATGAGAATGATACTCACACTAACAGTAGAATGTTGGAAACAGAGGTGAAGATTATGCTATTACAAGGATATGATAATTGTTTGTAAGGGCTAAATAACTAATTGTTTTTTTATTTCATCATATTGATCATCGTTATTTTTGCTATCAGGATATTGTGGACATGAATCCTACCTGTCCAGGGGATGATGTCTTTGATTATCAATCCATGAAATCAGGCGAAGAACCAACTTCTGGAATTCCAGTGCATGAAGAGTTGACAAATGCTGCAGCCAGTCCCAGATTGGCTGATTCTTTGCATGCAAATGCTACAAGGAAAAAAAAAGTAAATATCAGTTACTTTGACTTTGTCCTTTTTTTTTTTTCATTTTTCTAATTTGTGAATCTGACTATATAACACTTCACATTTTTCTAATTTTTTTTATGATGCTTGTCTGGATGCTAATCAGAGTAAAAATGATGCCTCGGCCTCATGTTCTACAAGGAAGAACAAGAGATCTTCTATTGCTGGTGAGGAGGATAATAGTGGTAAAACGTCAAGACAACTCAGAAAACGAACAGCTCATAAACCTGAAAACAGCTCAATGAATGAGGATGTTGAAGACGATAATGACTTTGACCCTCCTTATCATTCTAATGAACATGAACTTCAAGAAAATGATGATGACTATGAAGTCAATAATTCATCCAAGAAGACAGGAGTATCAAAAAGTTCAAAGAAGAAATCTGTGGCTAAAGGTGGTAAAATGTCTCAAAAGCGTAAGAAGGCTGATGATGATGTACAAAAAACTAAGGAACTTCCTAAAAAGTTCTCTCATTCAACCCGACGAAAAAAAAGATGCGGTAGGAATTTCTTGTGTTTAATCTTCATCTCTGTGGATATACTTATGCTGAAGTTTTTCTTTTTCGCAGTGGACAAGGCTCTGCTTGAAATTCCTGAGGATGAACTAGATCCTCGAACATTGCCTATGAAGGATATTATTTTACTTGCAGAACATAGGGAGCGGCAAGCGGTTTGTATACTCTATTCTATGTCGATGTCTTACAATTGTTAGTTTCACTGTTATTAGTATGGCACTATGACTTGAATTTTCACCAAGTGTTCCATTTGTTATGTAGAAAAAAGAGGCAATGACTTCAAATACATCTTCCACCAATCAAAGGTACTCAACATTAGTAAGAGTTTACATTTACATTTTACTTAATTTTCTGGTCAATCTTTATCTTTTTCTAACAGAGAATAGTATAATTATATTGCTAAATCAACTTATTTTGAAAAATAAACAAATGTGAACATCCTATTTACCACAATCTTTCTCTAATTCTTGCACAGTATTATCGTATTGAATTAGGTGATATTTGTAAAAGCGGAGAAACTTGTTCAATAAAGGGAATTTCACGTTCCTTTTTTTTTCTCCTTACCGACATATGAGTGCCCTGCACAAAAATCCATCATATAGGTTGAATTATATTTTCTCTCTTTCAATGATTATATGAATTTCTTCACCATGTCCTAATGGGTTGACTGAATGGCTTGCATTCTGTCAATAAACTGCATTATTTCTATTGCTACTTTCGTTGGCTACTTTAGGGCCAACGGCATGAGTCATGGAGGGTGGTAGATGTGATAGTGGACCTTTTTCCACCAGTCCATGATGATAGGAGGAGGTACTGGATGTTGTAAGTAAATATAGGGAAATAAGAGGAAGGTCCTTTATATTTTTCTTATGACGGTATTCATTGAAGTACTTTATGCTTTTAGCTCAAATTCAGTATTTGAGAACGGAAGAGAAAAGTCAAGCATTAGCCGTTGTTACTGTCTCTTGAATGCCTTGTGGACTAGTAAATGAATTTCAGCTAGCACAATATTTGTCTGCAGTGGATTGAGTTTCTGTTAGGTTACTGGTTGTTATTACTGTCTCTTGAGTCACATGAGGACTAGTAAATAAATTTCATTTTCCATAACATTTATCTGCAGTGGTGGTGATTCTCTTCATGAGACTGGTGAGTATGATGAACAGGAGTTCTCAGGTTCAGAAGATGGTAGAGACCCATATGATGATCAAGGCAATGAAAGGATTACTTCATCTAACGTGTTATACAATTACCAGACTTTCATGCAAAAGACACCTAGGGGTAAATGGTCAAAACAAGATACTGAACTATTTTATGAGGTATTTGTGTAATTCTCACTAGATTGACTGACATTATTATTTCTCTTAAACACAACTATTCACATCGTAGCTTTCTTTTTTTTTGGGTTGGGAGGAGGGGTATAGAAGAAAGATCTGTACATTGCAGTAAATTACCTGATTCTTTTTATATTATTTTGACATAGGCTATTAGGGAGTTGGGTACAGACTTTTCTATGATACAGCAGCTTTTCCCTGATAAAACTCGCAGTCAGATTAAGTCAAAATACAAGAAGGAAGAGCGGGAGCATTATTTACGGTTAAGAGATGCTATATATAACCGCACAAAAGGTTTTACCCTTTGATTACTACTATTCCGTACTGTTATCTTCTAGACTGACTGTGTTTATTGTTTAAGCAGTCCAGAAATGATCCTCAAGCTTACTTCATTTCTCTTCATTACTCTTTCTTGTAGATCACGTTCATTATAAATTGTTGATTGAGCGGCTACAAGCTTCCACCAAGGCAGAAGTAGACCCCAGTAGAGATGGCTCGGATTTCATAACTGCAGAGGAGGTTGTTGACCCAACAGCTGGGACTAAGGTATGCATTTTTGGCCCATTCAGTTTATCTTCTGATACCCCCCTTTTTTTGTGCACATAATTTCTGATTTCAGTGGCTTATTTATCAGAGAAATATGCATTGCATGATGTTTGCCTGTGGGAAGGTGGAACATAGCAAGTCCATCTACAAACTAACATTTTTACTTCATTCTTGCCTTCATTTCTTAAATAAGTTTCTGTGAGGTTTAAAGCTTTTCTAACCCAAGTCATTATTAGATCAATGCTCTGATATCGTTGGTTGGCTTTAAAGTTCAGATGACCAATTTACTTTAGTGTATTGCTGCTAGGGTAAAAGATAACTTGCCTTGAATTTTTTCTTTATAAAGTTAGTAAACTTAGTTCTATTTGTTGTGCAATTAGAAAGTTTGGTAGTGTTCATCAGCATGGTGTGACATGTTTGGTAGTAAATGTTGTTCCTTAAGCATATGATCAAAGGTTCAATTTAGGCCTTGTGTATAGAATAATAATGTTGGGGAAGGTCAGCCCCTTAGATGGTCATAGTTTCTCAAGAAATTAGTTCTTAACTGCTAGCAATGAGATATCCCAGATTCACCAGGAAATAAAAAAGTTTGGTAGTGTTCATGAATCCTCCTGAGGGAGTAATTCAAATGCAAAAAGAATAAAAACAGGTGTAGAAACATGACAAATTTCACAGACCCGTTTACACGTAATTGAATGCGCACGGGAACACCCTGGACTAATTGTGGGTTAAAGGCTGTGCAGATCTATATAGAATTAAAATTAAAATAGTTGTACAATGCTCTTATAAAAATAAATAAATAATTAACACGTTAAATTTATTTTCGTCTACTCTACCATTTTTTCTTTTATTTTAAAATTTATTATTATATATTTATTACAGAGGAAAAGAATTATGCTCTCTGGAAAACTTACTCTTAAAAGATACTCTAATGTTCTATTCCCTCATTGGCGGTGCTAATTTTCATAATTTGTTTTATCAAATGAAGGAAGAGGTTACGGAGGTTGCAACAACTAAGCAGGACCCCGACAAAGCACAGGAAGATTCTGTGGCAGTTCAGAGTCCAGAGCAATCTGATGAAAGTGAGGATGAATGGTCTCGATATAAAAGTTTCTATTAGTCACGGAACGAATCATTTTATTTTCTGAATAGTTAGTGCGAAATTCTTTTAATTGCTCAAATATTATTTACCATCCTCCTATTCCATTGTCCTGGCCATTTTGTTTTCAATTTTGCATGTAATGTGTACAATATTTTCCAGAGACAGTATCGTGAATTTCTAATCAACCATCGAGTTCATTAATTCCTTCTATGTTATGTTATTTTTTCTAGATATGTGAAAAAAGAAAAACATTTTTTAACACTTGTTTGAATGGGATGAAGGAAGACGATGGAGTGAAAAAAAAGAAGTGAAAAGGGAGTGTTTAAATTAGGTCAAAGAAAATAACAAATATATAAATGAGTATAAAATTTGTAAATGGATGTGATTAATTTGAAAAGATATAGAAAAGTCAATAATTTATTTCTTTATGCAATGGTTATATTGTCTTTGTAAGTATGTATTTTAAACTTGTATAATTGATGATGTTAATGCATAATTAATTATTTTATTTTTATCCTAAATCTTTCTTCTTAAGTGAAGAAACAAAATAGTGTGATATATTGTTAATGCATATCACTCTACATTTACTGAAACAAAATATCTTTTACAAGTCTATTTCTTTGCATTTCAATCATCACCAACAGTAACACGGTAAGATTGGGTATGACACTGGAGGATATGTTTTTATATGGTGAATATTCATCCTACAGAAGTTACAATAGTAACAGTGTTTCAGAATTAAAAACTGCACTACTATTAATAGACATGAGATGTCAAATAAAAGGAAAAGGAAGTTAAGAATGGTGTAGAACCTTTAGATGTCTACAAACATAACATTTAATATGTTATTTGATTGATGATCAGGATTGATCATGTTTCTTTTCCCATAAGTGTATCACATAACATGGCAAGGATTACAAGTAATGTAGTTTGACACTTCTAATGGTACATTAATCTTGTAAATGAATGATTAAATTTGTTGATGGGAAACAATAATTAGGTGTATCCAAATTGTTCCATATGTATTGCGTTCACATATGGTAGGGACATCTATGTAACTATAAATTTTCTTTTTGGTCCACTAATTTCTTATTTTTTGTTATTTAATCATTTTAATAATAACTCGTGGTAAGAAAAAATAAAATCAACAAATAATTATAACTTACTATTATTTTAATTTTATTTTCTAATCAAAATATTCTAGGTCAATTTTTTATTTATGTTCTGAATATAATCTCACTCGAATTAACAACACATTATATTTGTTATGTTATTTATTTAAATATATAAAATATTTATTTCTATCTATTATTTTTAACCAATGCAAAGAGCCATAACCTATCTATTTGATTTTTTTTTAATTTTGAAAAAATGCCGTATAAACATGTCCAAAATAAGTTTTTAGGTTAATATAATATGACAAGCCACAAAATAAAAACCAATTTTTATTATTTATGTTGATACATTATATTAAAAATAATTTTGTTTGATTTATTTTTTCTTTTTAGTTTTTAAAAATAATTTTAAAGATTAATTTTAAAAAATAAAAAATAAGTTAAATAAAATTATTTGATAATATTAATTTGAAAACTCTTTTAAATAAAAAATAATAGATCAACATCAATAATTTATGACAAAAAATTAAAAAATAATTTTGATAATTCATTTTTATAAAAATAGGTAATATAATGTAACTACATAAAAAATGTGAAATTATAATAAAAAAACTAGAAAAATATTTTTTATTATTTTTGGTTGTTTAGTTTTTAAAAAACTAAAAAGTAAAAATAATTAAACAAAGCCTAATTCACGTAAAAATATTTTGTCAAAAGGATATAAAAAAATATGTATGAGAACTTCAAAAAAGCGTTCTCAATATCATCATGGGCTTTGCAAAACAAAGGGCCCAACTATTACTACCTGGCATGACCCACTATTCGAAATTTCATACTCGCTCGCACAATCCAAACAATGGCGGGTTCTGAACCTTCTCCTTCTCCAAAAATCCTTCTAGCAAAGCCCGGACTCGTCACCGGAGGTCCTGTCGCCGGTAAATTCGGCCGTGGTGGCGCCGGCGATGAAGATTCCATCCAGCTCCGTTCTCGTCTCCCTTCCGTCGCATCCCTCAATCTTCTCTCCGATTCCTGGGATTTCCACATCGATCGCTTTCTCCCAGTACGTAACCTAATTCTCTCGTTACCTCTGTTTTCCTTTTTGCCGCCAAATGTTTACAATTAGGTTAGAAGTTTATCGGTAGCTGAAGTACACTGACTGTGATTGCCATTGTATTTTGAAAATGTTGCAGTTTTTGACTGAGAATACGGACTTTACAGTGATCGGAGTGATTGGGCCGCCTGGAGTGGGCAAGTCCACTATAATGAATGAACTTTATGGTTTTGACTCAAGTTCCCCTGGTCAGTTTATTGGCACTCTATAAATTAGTTCATCTTGGGAAATATTTTTTCATAATACTTGAAGAAAATGAGAAAATAAATTACTTTAAACTTTTTTTATTAGCTGGAACCAGCATATAGACCTCAGTTTTTGGAGAAGTGAAAATTGAAGAATTTCTACAATTTTACAGAAGTTTAGGGCATACATGATTTTATCTCATGAGTTAAATTAATTTTACTATTTAACAGAAAACTTAGTTTCTTTACTATGGTTTTTATTTTATTTTGACTTTTGATGTCTAAGCCTGCAGGTATGCTACCTCCTTTTGCGTTACAGTCTGAAGAAACTAGAGCTATGGCAAGGCATTGTTCCACGGGCATTGAACCAAGGATTTCAACTGAGCGCATCATTCTTCTCGATACGCAGGTACAACTACCACTAATATCTTTTTTTATGTTTTATATTCATTCATTGACGTGCTTCAGTTTTCATTTGTGTCTTTGCTTGTTTTCTATTGCTTTCACCGTTCCTCTTTCTTACTTATCTTTTGTGGGATTGAGTTTTATTTGTTCTTTTCTTTTGCCTGTAGCCTGTATTTAGTGCTTCTGTTCTAGCTGAGATGATGAGACCAGATGGCTCTTCAACGATTTCAGTGATAAGTGGTGAAACCTTACCAGCTGAATTAGCTCATGAACTTATGGGTATTCAGGTAAACAGTAACTTTCAATTAGGGAATATCTTTTCAATACAAATATTATTAATTTTCTAGATTGATAGTCGTTGGTGTCTTTTTTTTTGTTTTTATTCTTCATATATCTGATTATGTTGACTATGTGGGGTTGCTGCAAGGAATCTGTCTAGCTTGCTGTTCTTCTAGCATCTATATGTCATATTGTGCTGGTGGTATCAGAGGGAGTTCGTGATGATAGCATGTGGCAATTGATGTTGACGGTATGTGTGTTATATTTGAAGATGCTTCAAGTCCTATTCAATAAATCAATAATTATTTCGTGTTATTGCAAAATTAAGTAGTAATTTGAAACACAGTAGTGCCCGTTGTTTCTATCTGTTATTATTTCTTACTTGAATGGATGACTTTCTCTTACCTCTGCCTCTTTTCTATAAGAATCCAGTTAATGGATCAAGGGCTACTATGCACTTTCTAGCCTACACTATTTAAAATCAAGTTGCTTTATAGCATCCATTATGTTTAAAATGATAATTTTGGGGAATAGTTGCAATCTGATAGTGTCTTGTAAGTATTTTGTGTTATGGAAGCAATTGGCATTATTTAATTTTAACAAACTAGTCCCTATCTTTTAACAAATTATTTAATAAAACTCTTCGATGCATTCTGGTTCAAGAAATCAAGACTTCAGTTAAACTAATCTCGATATTTAGATCATAACCTCTTCTTGGTTCACATTTGGCTATTATCTGCTGCTGCTAACAAAATGACTAGAACTCTCAATTATAAGGACAAGTACGTGACGTTATTCATTGATAAAAGAGAAAAATCATATTCTCGTAAAATCCAATTTCTACAAATTGAACAAATTTGTTTTAGGCTTCCTTGTTTATTTTAGTCTTTGAACATCATGTGGAGACCATTTATTCTTGTGTTTATTTACGCTGTAACGACTACTATTACTGATATATTGAAAACTTAGCATGCTGTACTGGAAACGTGTAGGTTGACTTGTTGAAGCACGGCATTTCAGACCCATCCTTGATGGCATCATCCCAATCGCAAAGCTCTAGTTCAGGGCTTGAGAAAGATAAATATCCTGAACACGAAGAATACGTGGCTACTCCTGTGTTTGTACACACGAAGTAAGAAACATCTTTCTGCCTCAACATATTGGCAGTAAATCATTAGCATTAATGTATGCAGCAGCCAAAACAGTTAAGTCTATAAGATGCATCGTAAACAAATAAGAGTTCTTGAAAAAAGACAAGCTTAGCCAAGACATGGTGGGAACTAGTGAATGAGAATTGATGAATTGTCAACTTGTTTGACTTTATTAGTCTTGCTACTAGCCAAATTCATCTTGCCTCTTGTCTGGACTTTTTTTTTTTTCTCTTTAACGTTTCTTTGTAGTATCTTTAAAGTCAAGGTTTATGTCATCTACCGTATGGGTGTCACTGACTGTTTGAAAATATATAAGAAAATTTGACTGACTTAAATATATTGTTCATCTACAAGAATGTAATTTTAGGGTGCGTTTGTCACAGTTCTGTCTTGTATCCACTTCCTTTCCCTTAAGTGAACAGTTCGCTGCTTAGTGAAGCACTAATAGGTCTTTTCTTTTAATTTTTTTTAGGTTGCAAGATCAAGACTTTACTCCTAATAATTTTGTACGGTTGAAAAAGGCTCTCATGCAATATTTCAGACCATCTTCTTTTGTGAGAGAACACGGTGGAAACAATCCTGAAGAGCATGTTTTATTGTCTACTGTTCGAGGCAGTGAAATGGAGTCTAACTTGATAAAGTTGTATGCGATCCCTCTCAAGAAAAAAGATGAAAATCCAAGAGCTCGGCATGAAAGTTACGATTCTGCACTGTGGAAATTGCGTGATCAGGTTCTCTCTCGACACATGCACATGAAAGAATGCCTCACAAGCAATACACTGCAGGATTTGTCAAGTTTCTTTACTTTTCTAGTTGCAACTGTTATATTTCTTCCTTTCTTGTAGACCAATTAGCTTTAATGATAAACAAAATTTAAGACACGTGATATGTTTTCCTATGTCAGATTTTGTCCATGAAGTCACCATCTTTCACGAGACCAGTGTCAGAACGTGAATGGTTAAAGAACTCTGCCAAGATATGGGAACAGGTAAAAAACTCCCCAACGATATTGGAGTATTGTGGAACACTTCAACATTCCGGTATGTATAGGAGATAATTGCGAAGGATGGGAACGTTCAAGAGAATCTCCGAACTTGTATCTTTTGAAGTGCAAAATCATAATATTCATGTATCTATTGCACATTCTTTATGCTCATTTGCTGGCGAATACAATTGTATGACAGCATAATTTTGTTATGTTTTGCCCTTGACTGTTATTGTGTCATAAATTTTACCTTTTCTTTCTTTATATCTCATCACTTTTTCAGTTGCATAATATCATAATTATTATTATTTTTTATATTATTTCTTCTCTTTTCATAATTAACATAATAAAAATTATTATATTTTATTTGGTGAAAAATATTGATTAACCATGACAAAAAAAACGAATAAAAGAAAGAGAACTCCTTTAATGTAATGTATATATGGATAATATTTATAATTACATATTACTTGCATGCTAAAGTCTCCAATAAAGTAATTTAAGATAAATATATATAACCTATTGAATTAGCTATATCCATATAAAAGGGTATGTTATTTTAATATTCTTTTTTTATTTTTTTATTAAAAAGCATATGCTCATTTTGGTCTCTATTAAATAAATAAATTTACTAATGAAATTAGACAAAACATTATTTCATTATAATTTTTAATATTTTAAAGTTTGTGATAATATATTATTTTAATATATATATCACCTAGAAATATTACTATTTTTTAATTATTTTATATATCAATTTGTTTTCCACTATATTAAATTTAAAGTGTTTTTTATATTACTTAATTATATTAAATACTTATACTTATTTTTTAAAAATATAAAAACTATATTTTCCTCAGCAACAGGCGGAGATTATACTGATACTATAAATAATATTAAACCGTTTGTGTAGTTTGTTCGTATATATTCAAAATTTTATATTGCAGTTATTAAGAAATACAGACCAGACAGTTTAATTAAAAATATACTAGTACAGATAATTGACGAAAAATATGATTGTAAATAAGAGCAAATCCCTTTTTTTAAGACGATCGCATACAAAGAGTGGTGACAATATATCAAGAGATCATGAAGTTCAAATATGTTTGTTTTCACCACTAATAATTCGTTTTATTGTTGAAGAGTTAAAACCAGCTTTTTCACCTCATTAAACAAAGGCAAAACAATTGTTGAGGATTAAAAAAACAAACATCCAGGACATCTGCAACTCAGCTGTCTCATATTAACGGTTCATGCCTTGGACTCCCATGGTTGGTACCTGGTCCAGTCTCTCTGCCCTGGATTAAGGGCATGTCCTTTGGAATGATAGATATACTGTTCACCTTCTCCAGACAAATTTTCCTTGTGTTCAACACCGTACCTTTTCGGTTTCAGTAGAAGAAGCTGTAACAATTTCATTGCATTATTATTATTATTATTATTATTATTATTATTAGGTTCGGATTTTCATACCGAATGGCAATAGGAAAGAAAAGAATTACCTCATCTCCTGTGTGATCAGTAATGAAGTGGAGCCAGCCATGCCATTCAGGTGGAACCTGGGAGGCATTATACCTAGTTTTCTCTGCATATTCAACCCACCTGTGTCTACCTGCCAAATTATGACATTAATAACTGTGATATTTTGTCAAACATGGAATTGTAACAACTGAAAGGGACTGTAGAAAGAAAGGATAAATGACATTGCTGAAAGCTGAAATTTTTCTCAAAAATAAAAAGTGTTGTGTTGACAGAAGAAGAATCAGATCACAAGTTAGCACCAGGTACTTTATCACAGAAGGGTGACAAAAATCTAAGGAATTTTAAAATTCCACTTAAAGACATAATTTCAAATTCCTTATTTTAAAGAATGAAATACTTTGCTAAACCTTAAAATTAAAAACCCAAACCAAACAAGGAATTTGAGGCAAAAAATTTCAAACGCCTCTCCAAATATAAATTTTCCTCTTTAAAATTTCTCACCCAAACACATTACAAAGTATCAAAGTTTGAATCTTAACTCTCACAATTTATATACTAAATCGTTAATTAAAAGAGAATAAAAAAACTATGAAGGATCAGAAGATTAAAAGAACGTAGCATAATGAAAAATGTCATCAACAATAAATTAGAATAAATAGGTTTAGCTTTAATTTCAATAATTTTAAAGGGTAAAATAGATTTTACGCCATCTTAGTTTGGCCCTTTTTATATTTGATACCCAAAATTTATTTTATAACGGTATACTACATGGTTGAACTCTGGTAAAATGGACCAAACTTCATGGGTATAATATATTTTTTATGCCAATTTGAAATGAGTGATAAAATAGACTTGAATATACACCCTCTATTTGGATGAAGTAACATAAATATCATGTTTATAAAAAATTCATCTTTTATTATCATAAACACAAGTCATGTGTATGTCACGTTGCTAACAGTTACTTTTCTACCTAAATCCCTAAAATTATCAATAAATGACAACATCATAGATCTATTGCGTTCTCTCAAACACAATAACTTACTTTGCTTCAGAAATTCAGCCCTCATTTCGTTTTCCAATTTAACTCCATTTTTCCTCAAAGTTCTTCATGTTGTTTCTTTTTTCCTGCAATAATTATACCCAATAACAAGCGTGCAAGCCCATAATAATAAGGTTGCTGCCTTGTAACCTAGAGGCCACATGCCCAAATCCTGGAAATAGCCCACCATCTAGTGGACCAGGTTGGCATTTTCACTGAATCCCAATGTGCCATTCTCCTCTGCACATAATCAGACCCTATAGGCATTTTCATGTTTCCAAAGACATACAATCCTCACAATTTGACTGTAGTTCTATTGGTTATGTTTATCTGAGACATAGTGAGATACATAACCTTACAAAACCGACTCAGTAAGGTGAAAATTGTACTTATTTATATACTACAATGTTATCATATCTCTAGTCGATGTAGGATTTTTCAACACACCCACTCATATCGAAGATGGGTGGTCCAATAACGAGTGGTTATTGTCCCAACATTGCAAAAATTGACTCTGATACTATCTTAAAAATTGTGAGATACCTAACTCAATCCTACAAAACCGGTTCACTAAGGTGAGAATTGTATTCATCTATATATTATAATGTTATCATATCTCTAGTCGACATAGGATTTCTCAACTGTTTATTTTGTTGATATTTTGGCTTCTATGACCTTTACTCTTTAACTAATTGCACAAATAGATAGCTATGGTTCATATTCATCTTTCTTGTCCTAATTGTTAGTACGGTCGTTACATTGTTTACTTGCAAGGCTTGTAGTAACTCCAAATTTGATTGTTTACTTTGAAGACATACACAATAGTATTCTACCCTTAAGCAACTGTTATGATGCAGCATTTGAAAAGCCATAAAATTTCATATTCAAATTCTTGTTCATTATGTCAATAGTGAGATATCCATGTGCAATAATTGGAATGCTTGATAGATGTCAATGGTAGCTGCCCATGCGAATGGGTTATATTTGCTGATTTTAGCCATTAAGACTAAAGCACACACACATGCAGATTGAGACAGAAACTTACCATACTGTGTGTCTCCAAGCTTCTCATAATACTTGTTGCCGAATTTATCAACACCAACAAGTGTTGCCCCAATATTGTGGATCTTGGTTTGCCTACATAAAATTAATAAATAATTAGATTGGAAGAGGAAAAATACTAATATTACAACGGAATTAAGATCTCATGATAAAAAATACCAATACACAGAGGACACATCATTTGGCAGGAGGCCAGATACCACAAAAATAAATCTAAACCTAAATCTAATAGCAAGAAACCATGTAGCCACTCAACTTGTCTTAGAGAAAAACCGTCTATATCTAAAGCTCTTCAACTTTATCTCTAAGAGGGTCATTTGAAAATACAAAGTAATATATATATATATATATATATATATATATATATATATATATATATATATATATATATATATATATATATATTTTTTTTTTTTTTTTTTTTTTCACACATTCATGTCCTTTTCATACCCCACCCTGAATATTAGGAAAGGCCCCTTTGATTGCATCCAGTACTATACCTTTCTATACATTCTACACCTTATGTATTCATCAAGCATTGGGAAAGGCCGCGAGCCAAAACACAGTGAGAGACATCAAATCAAAAGTAATAATTTGGCATTCAAAGAGAGTAAGAAATTGAATGAAAAATGACTAGATTAAGCAATTGACTTACAGAAGATTTCCATCCGGAAGGCATCTCCTGAAAATTCAAACCAAAATGTAAAAAATATCAGCACAGCACAAATGCACAACCCTCGAGTATCAACACAAAGTTTCTACTTTATTCATGGATTCAAAGGACCTCTCAACAGGGTAAGAAATATCAGTGCGGCACAAATGCACTACAAAATTCCTTTGACAAACGCAACACTAAATCAACAAAAGCTATTAAATCAAATCGGAGTTTCATTTCATCTCCTAAATTACGTTTTCCGGAGAATGAGAAATCGAAAGGCAGTGGCAAATTAATAAGAGGGGAGAAAAACACGTTCAATAACTGCAATATCTAACTAAATAATCGAAATTATATGTGAAAAAAACGATAAGATTGGTAACATATCCAATGTGAGGGAAATCTGAAAGCGAAAAGGGAAAGGAACAAACAGGTAGCCTTCATCTTTGAGCTCTCTGAGGAAAGTGCCGAAACCCTTTTCTCTGATCGATTTGAGAACGTTCTTCACCACCGACGCCATGTCGCTCTTCTACCTCCTCTCCCACTCTCTTCTCTTTTTGAAGTATTGCTAAGGCTGCGTTTGGTAACACCAAATATAATTAACACAAAAACCACGAAAGAAAACTAGAAATAAACCATAATCTATATGAAAGAAAAAACAAATAGTTGGACTCAAAACAAACTTTAAAAAATATATTTTATTATTTAATCATTCAATTAAAAGTTATTCCCAACCAAAATAATTTATTTTTATAAAATTGAAAATTTCTTTGACATTTTATTGAATAAAATAAATTTAATTTACCGACATTATACTATTGACGCTAGATTTACATGTGTTTTTATTTCATTTTAAGATTTTATGAATACAATATATAAATTTGTAAGAAGAAATTAATAGTCAATTAAAAATTAAACAAGTATTGATTATTGAAACGAGAAAAAAAAACTCCATATTTATAACACACAGCCAAATAAATAAATAAGTTAATGATAAAATAAGTGTTAATTATCAGAATAATCATATACAAATATATTATTTATCCAAATTTAACATGCATCATTACTCGTTTAATTTAACAAAATTATAATAAAGAAAGTAATTTTATAAAAAAAATTCGTAGAGTACTGTTTTTTTTTTTTCATTTTCTTCCTCCACAAGAGCATATATATTAGAAAGAAATATTTTAAATAATATTTGTCAAAAAATTATAATGTTACTAGGATAACTTTTTACTGAATTTATTACTAATAGTTTAACCTGTAAAAAAACGTTATCTATTAAATATTGTTGATATTTTGAAAAAAAAAACTATGAAAATTCAATTCAAAAATGAATTGTATGGATGGGCGTATAAAATCCTCTACCAATATAATTTAGAATGAAAAACTTAAAATATTTTTAAGAATTATTTTCAATAAAAACATATTTATAATTTGTCCTTAACCCCAACATTTTGAAGGTTTTGAACATTTCATTTTTTAATTTGACATTTCCATCTTTCTCATTAAATAGAATTTCAATATTTTTTTAAATATCGATAGCTAAACAAAACTTACATTGTAATATAAATTAGTATAACTTTAAATATTTTTTTATACTAAAATGGTTAAATTTATTATAATTTTACTTATACTTTTTAATATTATTTAGGGATAAGGATTATTATACCCCACTTAAAAAATCACAGTTAAAAACAAACTTTTTTGTATTTTGAATGAGAAAATACTGTATTTGAGTACAGGTAAAATTTAATTATTTTATTATTATTTTTATCAAATTAGTTTTTTTTAGTTTGGTAAATTTGTCACCTACTATTTTTTTTTTCCAGAATGCAGCACAGTTTAAAGTCATTTATAAAATCTGAGCCTATGTAAAATTTAGTAACTTTTTCCCTCTTCAAATTTAAAAATATTTGTTTTGTATTATTCCAACCCGTGTTTATTCTGACGAGATATAATATTTTTCATATTTTTACTATTTATAAAATGTATATAATTTATCTATTTTAATTTATTTGCTAGACCATTAGTGATTTTAAGATTTGAATAAATGAAAAATAATAAAAGAAAGTATGAACATAAAAAAATTAATATACTTGACGAAGATTAAAAATAATAATTTCAAATTTTTTCTTAAAATAAAAAGATTATAAAAACAAAAAAATAATAATTTCAGGATTAATAGTTTATTTATTTTATATATTTAAAAACATATTTAGACCTTTATTTATCACTTGATTATTTATTTACTAGCTAAAAATTTTGTATTTTTTCCTAAATATGAAAAAATAGATATAATATAAAAACTAAATTAAAATAAATTTACAATTTAAAAGTCTAAAATAAACAATTTAGAATTTTATTACCAGAGGTGCACGTGGCGAAGTCTGATTGGATAGTGTTACATCATTTTGTTCAAGGTTACTCGTGAATTTTTATTTAATATTTAAAATTAAAGACAAAAACTCGGAAATCTTGTGCCAGAGCGAAAAGGAAGAACTTCGGAAGGAGGTACCGACGATTGTTTTTGCCGTTTCAACTCAGACCCTTGAATCCCAACCGGTACCTTCTTTCTTCTTTGGCGATTCCATTCCCATGTTTTCATTACTTGCTTTCATTCAATTTTCTTTAATTACTTATTGATCTGATTCCAAGTTAGGGCTTATCTTGTATTGGGGTTTCATTTTCAACATGTACTTCCTAAATCTTTCGAACTTTCATGTTTGATTCTTCTGTTTGTAACATCGTCCCAAATGCACATATGTAGGGCATATTAAATTAATTGAACGTGCAATTGATAAGTTGGATTTTCTGTTGTTGATTCAATCATTACATTGGCTTTATGCAGAGAAGAAATCATGAAGCTGAAAACATACGCTGGTCTTAGTTTCATTGCAACTCTGGCTATCATATATCATGCATTCAACAGTAGGGGTCAGTTTTATCCGGCAATGGTGTATCTCTCAACTTCCAAGATCAGCTTGGTGCTTCTTCTCAACATGGGTTTGGTCTTTATGTGTATTCTATGGCAATTAACCAAGAAGATTTTCTTGGGTTCTCTCCGGGAGGCGGAGGTTGAGAGGCTCAACGAGCAATCGTGGAGGGAGGTCATGGAAATCCTCTTTGCAATCACCATTTTTAGGCAGGACTTCTCCGTCACATTCCTTGCAATGGTCACAACTCTGTTGCTGATTAAGGCTTTGCACTGGCTGGGTCAAAAGAGAGTTGAGTACATCGAGACCACTCCTTCAGTGCCCATGTTGTCCCATGTTCGAATTGTATCTTTTATGGGGTTCCTTCTTCTCTTAGATAGCATTTTCTTATACAGTTCTTTGAAGCATTTGATAGAAACTTGGCAGGCTTCGGTTTCACTGTTCTTTTGTTTCGAGTAAGGCTTCTTCTTCCTTTTTCCCTTCCCACTTGAGTTATGACACGAGCATAGTTATATTAAAACTACGTATAGTACTGCAGCCGAATTTCTTGTTGGATAAGTCGTGAATTTGAGGATGCTGTTTGTCTAGTTTTTTTTTTCTCTGTTTGACTTTCATTTGGTTCAGTCATGGTCAAATCCAATTAGGCCACGTTGATATATGAAATTTCACATCTTCGTTAAACTCTCGAAAATCAATTTTCTTCTTGGAAAATAATAGCTAAAAGGATTGGTGAGAAGCAACATATATCATTCTTTTAAAATAGTATATACTTGGGTATTTTATTTGACAAATTATCTGTTTCTATTCCAGGTACATGATACTCGCAACCACCACCGTATCAATTTTTGTAAAATATATTTTCTATGTCAGTGACATGCTTATGGATGGACAATGGGAAAAGAAACCGGTCTTCACTTTTTACCTGGAACTTATTAGGGACTTGCTTCACTTGTCGATGTATATGTGCTTCTTTCTTGTGATTTTTGTGTAAGTGATCATTGGACTGCACTTACGCATTTTTGTGTACATTTTCCGCAGTCTTCTGCATAAGTCATTAGTCAGTCTCTGTTTTTATATGCTTCTCATTGACACTTACGCATTTAGCCATTGGACTGCACTTAGAAACAGATTCAATCATAATTGGCAATGGTACTTAGTTTCTGTTTCATTAACATGTATACATCTGATTTGTTTGTTATTCTTGGTTATGCTATTTTGGTTATATTTTCAACTGTACTAACTTTAGTTGATCGATTAGAAACTATGGCATTCCCTTGCACCTTATACGGGAGCTGTACGAGACATTTAGGAACTTCAAAGTCCGTGTTGCAGATTACATACGTTATCGAAAAATCACTTCAAATATGAATGATCGATTTCCAGATGCAACCCCTGAAGAGCTTAATGCGTGAGTTCTAAACTTGGTGTGGTATCTCATTTATTAATTTAATATTCATGCATACTAAAAATGTATAAATTTAAATGGCTATGCAGAAGTGATGCAACCTGCATTATATGTCGTGAAGAGATGACTACAGCCAAGAAACTCATATGTGGACATCTTTTTCATGTTCATTGTCTCCGATCATGGCTGGAGCGGCAGCATACTTGCCCCACCTGCAGAGCCTTGGTTGTACCACCAGAAAATGGGACAACTGCAGCTGTAGGGCAGCAAGGATCACAGGCAGATGGTCAACGGCAGGGTAATCACTCACTATAGTTAAAAATTGTGTGAAACATTTTAGTGTAATGTACATGATGCCAGAAATGAACCAAAGTTTTTTCCAGAGATACAGTGTCTTTGGAAACCAAAATGGAAAAGATGGAGTTCTATATGCACCTTCCATGATATTTTTTTTAAATAATTTTAAGTTTACTATTTATTTTTGTAATGTGTAATTTCTTTTTTATTGAACTATGAAGATTTTCTCATTAATCTTTTAATATTTTGTATGAAGCTCCTAAAGATCCTATTAAATAATTTTACACATTAGTTAACTTTTAAAACCAGCGTAATGAGTATGTGCACTGTCAACCAATTAGAACTCATATTTAGTATGACTTTCAAAGTAGTTATTGTCAAAGTCAACAAACGTATCATATATGGTGGTGTGTGATTGGTGGTAGTGAGATAGTGTGAAAACATTTCCCCTGTCATTGATCTTATTTTATTATCAAATATTTTGAATATAATAATATCTATAAGATTTAAATATGCAAAGTAACACCTGCAATTCTAAACATTGTGACTCTGCATATATTTTTGTGTATTATTTAACGTTGTGTATTTTCACCTTGAACAGGAACCGGGACTGGCAGTGGAAGCACAGCTCAAAATGAGGCTACTGATAACATGAGTCGACATCAAGCCAGACTCCAAGCCGCTGCTGCTGCAGCTTCTATATATGAGAAGTCTTATGTGTACCCTTCTGCAAATTCTTTTGTATGGTATGTAATTTCTGTTTGGACAATTAGGCAATAAGTCATTTCTGCTGTGTATCTTGCTCGTTATTAATATTATTAATATTATGAGGGGCGGTAACAACACTTACTTTCTATTGGTTAGAATTTTCGATACTACCAATTCACGAGTGGGGTTCATCAAATAATATGTAGGACCCCCATAATTGTATGATTTGCAATCTATTTCAACCAATAGTTAAGAGTGTCTCGCTACTTCTAGCAACCTTGTTCTTTGGGGTGAAAACCACTCAGTCTTTGACAATGATTTTGGTGTTCGTGCTCTTAACAAACTGCGCAACCCCAATGAACCCCTGAGTAACAGTGGTTCATCTGCATTGAAGATGAAAACAAACATTTGGTGATTGAGTTTGGGAACTGTAAATCCCTTTCAAAGTCTTCAGCTCCTCGACAACATCCTTCTCTAAATCTATTGCTCTAATCTCCTCTTTGGGATAATGAGTTCTAAATCTGTATTTCATGTCTTCTTACGAACCAATGTCTCAAAATATTGAATATATTCTTCCACAAAACTTGTTTGATGTAGAGTGATATGCATTCTCAAACTTTATCTTCCAAACCTCCAAATCAATGCTGAAGTAAACTGCTTCCAATCCAATTCTTCAGTTCTTTTAACATAAGAATTTGAACCAATGCATTGCATTATCCTCCATACTAATGAAAGCCAATTGCATTTTCTTAGTTGGTTGGATTTGCCAGCGCTTCAAAATATTTCTCAGCCCTTGCTATCCACCTCAAGTGGTCTCATTAACTCCAAAGTTAACCCTTTTGTTACTGACTCAATGGTCATTAATCACATATTGACTAGAAATAAAACAAGCTGTAACTGACCTAGTAAACTCTTAGTAGAAACATAGGTAACATTGGGCCTGTTCGATTCTGTTCTGGTATGCTCAAAAGTTTATATTGTTTAGAAGATGAAATCAATGTTAGTTTATTAATATTCTTTTCTCTTAATCCATTGAAGTGCCTTTGAAAGACAAAATTATGTCAAAATATCAAATTTCAAAGTAGACAACACTTCAAATACTTTGATTGAAAACTGTTTTGTAAAACAATTTCACACTATTAAGAAACCGATTTGTCATCTAAACCTATTAAGCTTTGTAAATTGTCTCTAAATGTGTTTTAAAAATCTATAACTACCAATGTTTTTCATTTCTGGATTGCTTTTGCATTGCAGTTTTTGCAATGCAGTTTACCCATTTGCAAAACGGATTGCAATGCAGTTTAAGGATTGAGGCGATTGGGAGAAGCTGAAGAAAAGAGGGATTTGTCGTCTTTGTAGACCTTGAAGGAATGAATATTCCTTTGTTGTTCTTGTTGTGGATGGAAAGTACTGGAAATTCCTTCCAGACATTACTTCCATACTAGTTTGATGTGAGAGTAGAGAATTCATGGAAAACAGTATGAATACAACAAAAAACAACTAGGTGAGAACATGTTTACCAAATAATCAAATAAAAACAGACACCCACGGTTTGAAAACGAGAACTTTTTTCAAGAATGATAATCATTCATGCCCTTAATGGCTTGATTTGTGCTCGAATCATCCAATTCAAAATAGATCCGAGATTGGAAAATGTAGACTATTAAAATTGAGTTTCTTCTTTGATATAGAAGTGTGTCTATACAATTATTGACTAAATCTGTTTGAATATACGTTGCATCACTGTATAAGAAATTGTATTTCAAGATTTGTTTTGTTTAATGATCATATTTGTCCTCTATGAAATTTGTTATATCACATTTTTACTGATTATTCTTCCTGAGTTCATTTTCTATAATGGCTGATTAACAAGTCAAAGAACCAATTTTGTGATCTTACTCATTCAGTTTCGGTAAAAAAGTGATAATGCTGAACTAGTATCGAAATGTTTAATTGACAAGGCCTGTTCTTAAACTGACAGCTCTCCTGGGCACACTCTTCATCCTCCGGTGGCTGAATCTACTAATACAGACAACAGTGGAGAGCAAACTTCCTGTGAACCAACACAAAGGCAGTTTCTTACCGCTGGTGGACCAACATATGTATCCTTTCCTCCAATGCAACACTTCCATTTTCTACCTTCCCAACCACATGCAGCACCTGTGAATTATGGAAAGGGGTTTGAAAATGATCCAAATATCCCAAGCTCTCAGCTGGAAGTTCATAGAAAACTCCTTCAATTGCAGATTGAGGTATGATGCGCCCTCTTTTTTCTTTACCAGCACACAGTAAGTGGTATATGTCATGTTGGGTTTACCTGAATAAAAAGGGTCACATTTGACTATGGTGACCACGAAATGAATACTCCCTTCTCCTGTATGCATACTAAATTCTGCTTCACCAAAAAGGGGCATTTACTGATATATCGTTCTAAATAGTTTTCACTAAATTAGACTTTTATAAGCACCACCGAGACGTAACAAATGGATGCATACAAATAGATTGCAACTGCGTCAATGTGTTCGGTGCATGGTTTCGATCACTGTGTAATTATATTGTTTAATAAAAATTGAATTTTCAATATTTTGAACGAAGATGAAATGAACAGTTGTAACTCACAACAAATGCCCCCGTTGCTTCTCACAGATTCTGCAAAACCAGCTTGAGATTCTGCAGAGGACAAAGGCTGATAAAATTGTAGATGAGGGTACATCATCATCAGATAGCAGAGGCAAGAGTATCATGTGCTCATCGGGATTTCGTCATGGTTATATTGAGGACATTCATGATGGAAAACCATGAAGTTGGCTGTTAAGGTTTGTGCCAGGAGACTGGCAAATGTAGATATAGGACGAGAATACAGAAATCACAGCATTGCTCTAATGTGACATCTGCTATTCGTGGTGATACTAATCTTGTAAATGCTTAGTGCCCCTTAACAATGATTTATCTTGGCTTTTCTTTTTCTTTTTTTTTTCTTCTGTGGATTGTACGCTTAGCTTTAACAAAACATACCTGTTGATCAGAAAGTGAGGAATTATTGTTTGAGGCATAATCCCCTTTAAAGTTGGGATTTGTCGTCAATGTTTGAGGTTTGTAGTTTCCCTTAAAGTAGGGAGTTACTCCCCAAGAGATACCTATGTTTTCAACGATGAAAATAAATGTCTTTAAAACATTACAATTTTAGCCATTGAATGTAACAAGGATATCAAATGAGTACTACTCGTATTTATTGGGTAGGGTATGTTTAGTTAAATATGTGCTTGAAGGTACACAAACACAATTCAAAGGGGTACGTATTAGACAATGTTATGATTCTAGGCATACAGAAAATGTTTTTCTTTCTTTTCCCTTTTTTTATTTAGTTTTATTTGTAAAATTTTATAAAATAATTGGAAAGAAATTTAAATTTAATTTTGTTTTTAATTTTTAAAAACAAAAAAATCTAAAAAATTGCTTTTAAAAAAAGTTAAAAATTATTTGATAATTATATAATAGTGTAACTAGCACTGAAAATGAATTTCACTATTAAAAAACATATTTTATCAAATTTAATTTTTAAAAAATAAAAAATGGTTTTAGAAACTATTTTAATAGAACAATTATATATAAAAAAGAAGTTTTAAAATCTTGTAAAATCTAAAAACCGAAATCCGTTTTAGAAACAGCGTCTATTTGTTTTTCAGTTATCTTTGCCTTGTCTTCCTATGCATGGATATACCATTATTGGGTTGATTATTGCTTCGATTTACATCTCTATAGCTACAAATGAACTTGTTTGTTTGATAAAATGTCACTTTGAGTTCGTTATTACCTTCATCACAGCTTAGTTTGACAGAATTTATTTACTTAAATTTAAGAACATGTTTTAAATATTATTATCATATTCATGGAAGAAGTGGGATTAAATCCTTTGCATCTGACTTTCCAACTTGAGTAAGTATACCAACCATTTGATTTGATGAAGACTTACTATTATTTTATTCTTATACTATATATTAAGTTTTCTCACATTATTTCCGACCCATTTTTCTCTTCATATTCTTAAGTGCATATTACCATAACACATCACCTATGTTTAACTTTTGTAACTTAAACATCTCTATTCTTATATTTAAGCCCTTATTATTATTATTATTATTATTAACTTTATAACCATAAAAAATGCTCGCTCTTAGATATAAAATTTATGTATATAAAAAAAACTAGAATCCTATGTATTTATATAAAAAAAAATATTGAAAATGTTATCTGAAAATAAGTGTACAAATGAAGAGCATCAAGAAAACTAAAAATGCTTCTTTGTAGAAAAATGGGTAGGTAGCTCCGTTACCATGACCGTTCAATAATCAACTACTCACTTTGAATTTTAATTTAAAATATTGAGTTGCCACCTTCTTTTAAATACAACTCCCCAATGTTTCTTTGCTTGACCATGAAACCAATTTCAAAAGAGGTGGTCGTGTGAGATCCAAAAACTTATAGTCATACCCCCCAGCCTACCTACCAATACATGTGGCCCACTCTCTTCCTCCGCTGCCTCGCTTGACTCAAATTAAACCACGAACTGTCATCAAATACTTTAATACGCCACATATGCATAAAATACCACAGATTATTGCTTGTTAACTTTTAAGGTCCAACTTGGTCATGCACGTGATGCTCACCTACCCCACTTCCTATCCACCCTTGCATACATATAAAATGCTACCTCCTCCAACATCTTCAAACACAACTTCACTACCAGCAAAGTCCTGTGACTTGGTGAGTTCTCATCCATCAATCAAAGTCGCAGTGCTTCATTTGGCATAACCATCGTCACCGGTTTATTACCTTCTAAAAGGAAACCAAGATGGTGAGTGTATCTGAGATCCGCCAGGCTCAAAGGGCAGAAGGCCCCGCAACCATCCTTGCCATTGGAACTGCAACCCCACCAAACTGTGTTGATCAGAGCACCTATCCCGATTACTACTTCAGAATCACTAACAGTGAGCACATGACCGAGCTCAAAGAGAAATTCCAGCGCATGTGTATGTTCTCTCTTCTTCTTTTCCTCCATTTTACCCTACACATCCTCCATGCTTTCTATAATTTACTCTCTCTGGTGTTGAATTTTTTCCATTGATTTGCAACATTTCAGGCGACAAGTCCATGATCAAGAAGAGATACATGCACCTAACCGAGGAGCTCTTGAAGGAGAACCCTAACATGTGTGCTTACATGGCACCTTCTTTGGATGCCAGACAAGACATGGTGGTGGTGGAGGTACCAAAGCTGGGGAAAGAGGCTGCAGTGAAGGCAATAAAAGAGTGGGGGCAGCCAAAGTCCAAGATCACACACTTGATCTTTTGCACCACCAGTGGTGTGGACATGCCTGGTTGTGATTACCAACTCACCAAACTCTTGGGACTTCGCCCCTACGTGAAGAGGTACATGATGTACCAACAAGGGTGCTTCGCAGGTGGCACGGTTCTTCGGTTGGCAAAGGATTTGGCCGAGAACAACAGGGGTGCGCGTGTGCTTGTTGTGTGTTCTGAGATCACTGCAGTCACATTCCGTGGGCCAAGTGAGAGTCACCTGGACAGTCTTGTGGGACAGGCACTGTTTGGAGATGGAGCAGCTGCAGTGATTGTTGGTTCTGACCCAATTCCACAGATTGAGAAGCCTCTGTTCGAGCTGGTTTGGACTGCACAGACCATTGCTCCAGACAGCGATGGTGCTATTGATGGGCACCTTCGTGAAGTTGGACTGACGTTTCACCTGCTTAAGGATGTTCCTGGGATTGTGTCAAAGAACATTGGGAAGGCACTCTCAGAGGCCTTCAACCCGTTGAACATCTCTGATTACAACTCCATCTTCTGGATTGCACACCCTGGTGGGCCTGCAATTCTTGACCAAGTTGAGGAAAAGGTTGGTCTGAAACCTGAAAAGATGAAGGCCACTAGAGATGTGCTTAGTGAGTATGGGAACATGTCAAGTGCATGTGTGCTTTTCATCTTGGATGAGATGAGGAGGAAATCAGCTGAAAATGGACTTCAAACCACTGGTGAAGGACTTGAATGGGGCGTCTTGTTTGGCTTTGGACCTGGCCTTACCATCGAGACTGTCGTTCTCCACAGTGTCGCCATATAATTAACATCCCATGCCTACTTCCTTACTTTATTATCGTTCCTTCCTTTCATTACTTGGCCCCTGCCAGATTTTATTTTAAATTTTTTTATCAGTTTTTATAAAATAATTGTATTTATAATTAATGTTGAAATTATCATTTGCCCTTTTACTTTATTCCGTAAACAATTGTGCTATGTTCTAACATTTTGTTTGCCTTCTTTGCATGATTCTTACTTGGCCATAAATACTAGAGCATACACAAATTATCATTGACATTAAGAAATGAAAATATTTATTATGAAGTTATTTATTATAACGAATATAATTCAACAATATTTTACAGAATTGTAAATTATTAAATTTGTAATCACCAATAAAACTTCCAAATAAATGTAGATTAAAAACGGCGCTTAAGTTTTACTCAAAAGTTATTTATTATAATAATTTATAATGTAAAGATTAAGTAAATTATCAAACTTTATCTTTAAAAATGTTAAGAAAGCATCTTGTAATAATGAATATAATTTAAATATATTTTTCGAAAAGATGAAGCAATCTACAACATATCACGTGCATTCAAGTTTTGAAGTAATCGAGAAAAAAAAAATTAGAAATTTTACTATAATTTTTCTTTTATAGGTGTTTTACTTAGAAACCTTTACTTTTCAACAGAACATAGTAATATAATAAAGATTTAGTAATGGAGGAGTCAGAGAATAAAATTAAGATGATGTTACGAGAATGTGAATCAATCTTTATATTTATTCATTTAATGATACATAATTGTAAAAAAAAAAAAAAATCTCCATGGCAAAGAAAACTAAAAACAACAATTAAGAGAAAGAAAACTAAGATCAAGAGAGAGAAAACAAAGAGTTTTAATAAGTTGGAATAGGAAAATGATTTTTCTTATTTGCTTTGTGAGACAAAGTTAATATACAGATTACAAGATCTGATCTCAACTTTCTAATTCAAACAGTCCCTTAAGTTAGAAGGTGTATATTACACGTTCCAAGCTTAGAAATATTCAAATGAAAAGGACCAACAGTCAAGGCTTTTGTAAAAACATCTACCAATTGTTGAATACTTTTGACAAGAATAAGATGTACAATTCCATTATGCACCTTTTTTCTAATAGAATGACAATCAATTACTATGTGTTTTGTCCTTTCATGATAAACGGGATTAGCTGCAATATGAAGGGTTGATTCATTGTCATAAAATAAAGTTATTGGAGCACAATTAATCTTGAAATCAACCATCAAATATGTCAACCATTGAACTTCATATCCTATCAAGGCTAAAGCTCTATGTTCAGCTTCAGATGAAGACCTTGAAATTATTCTTTGTCTCTTGCTCTTCCAAGATATGAGTGATTGGCCTAGAAAGAAACAAAATCCAGTTACAGACCTTCTGGTATCAAGGCAAGACCCCTCACCCAGAATCACTGAAACCTTTAAGAGCCAAATCTGAACAAGTTGGAAAAAATAAACCTTTGCTAGGTTCATTTTTCAAATATTTGAGAACTCTCGAGGCTGCCTGGTAGTGAAGAGTTGATGTCTTGTCTAGAAATTGACTCAAGTGTCCCACTGCATAGGATAAATCAGGATGTGTGTGGGTTAGATAAATCAATCTTCCAATGATTTTCCTATAGTCAATTACATCAGGATAAGGAGAACCTGATGCTAAGGACAATTTAGTATTGTTGTCCATTGGTGTAGACATTGGTTTAGACACAAGTAAACCAAAATCTTGTAACAAGTCAAGTACATATTTTCTTTAACACAGAGAAATCCCCTTTGAGGATTTAGCAACCTTCATACCAAAAAAATATTTCAGTTGACCTAAATCTTTAATATTAAACTGAGCATCAATAACATGTTTCATATGATTAATTTCCACTAAAGAGGTTCCAGCCAAGACTAAATCATCAACATACAAAAGAATTGCAATAAATGCATCATTTTCAGATTTTATAAAAAGAGAATAATCTACTCTTGACTAAATAGGCATGACAACGAGGCGGAGGCGGGCGGGGCGGGTTTTCCCTCCCGATCCTCGCCCCGACTTTTTAACCATCCCCGTCCCGCCCCGATCCCCGTCGGGGTTAAAAATTAAGTCATCATCTTCGTCCCCACTGGGTTTCGGGTTCTCTCGCCCCCACCCCGTCCTCGATCTATATTATTTTTAAAAATATAATTATATTTATAATAAATTAATTTTATTATGTATTTTTTATATATAAATAAATATTTATAATTTATAATTATTATTAATTAAATATACATTTTAATTTATTATATTTATATTAAAATATGTATGTAAAAAAATATTTAATTATTTTTTATTTATATATAGAGAGAATATTTATAACATTATTATTATTATTATTATTATTATTATTATTATTATTATTATTATTATACTATTCAAATATTTTAATACTTATAACATTATTATTATAATACTCGTATTCAAACATTTAATTATATATATATATATATATATATATATATATATAAATAAGTTAATTCATTTTTAAGTTGTCATTTAAAAATATGAAATATATAGTTTATAAGAAAATATTTAATAAGTTAATTCTTATTTAATTAGTTCGAAGTAATAAAAGTTTAAATTATCAATTTCTTTTAATCCTTTAAAATATAATTATTTTATTAAGATAAAATTTGATATATGATAAATAAGAATAATAAGATAAAAAATATGACATAATAAAACCTAATAAATATAAATTATAAATAAAATAATATTAGTTACTACTAGGATTTATGTAAAATATTTAGAAAAAGATAAAGAAAAAAATTTTACTTTGTGTTCATCAAACTGATTGAAAAGATTAAAAAAAATAAATAAATTGATGGGAGAAATTAAGTAAATGTAAAAAACAAAAACGTAAGAGAAAGAATAATGTAATAAATTAATTGATATAAAAGATTAGAAAAGATAAAAAAATTTAAAAGTGGGTAGAAGAAAAATAAAAATTGGTGAAATATAAAAAAATAACCTTATATGTAATAGAAAAAGAAAAGAAAATATATTTAAAGTATTAATATTTTAAATTTTAAATTTAAATATAAAGTCGGGGCGGGGACGGGGATTGCATTACCCATCCCGCCCCCGATCAACTCGGGTTTTCCCCGTCAAACTCGGGGACGAGGACGGGTCGGTCCCCATGGGTACGGGTTTAATTGTCATCCTTAACTGAATGTAACAAGACAAAAGTATTGTTGTCAGCTTAGCATTCCATTACCTGCTTTATGCCATTTGATCATGAAGAACAAGTCCAGGAGGAGGTAACATATATACTTCTTCTGACAAATCTCCATGTAAGAAGGCTGTATTGACATCTAATTGGTGAAGATGACAATTGAAGGATGCTACTAAGGTGAGAAACACTCTCATTGTTGTCATCTTAACAACAGGACTGAATGTTTCAAGATAATCAAGTCTTGTTGTTTGAGTGTACCCTTAGCAACCAATCTTTTATATCTTTCAATAGTATCATTTGCATGATGTTTCACTTTAAATACCCACTTGCACCCTATAGCCTTCTTATTATGTGGTAAAACTGTAAGTTTCCATGTCTTGTTTTTCTCTAAAGCCAACAGTTCACCATCAATAGCTTTTCTCCAACACTCATCATTCACAGCCTCAGCATAGGTCTTTGGTTCAGAAATATTAGATATGGCTAAAGTAAATTATTTATGGGAAGAAGAAAGTTTATCATATGATAGACACTGTGAGAGAGGATACCTGACATTTGATTTTGTTGATGCAGCTGAAACTCTTGTTAAAGTTAGTTGACAATGAAAATCCTTTAGGTATTTGGGGGTTGATGAACTCTATTGGATCTTCTAAGTGTGTGTTTAGGTTTGGGTTCTATATTATGCATAAGATCAAGTTCTGATTATATATTATGATTGGAATTAGAAGAAGTGGGTGAATGTAAATAATTGAGTTCATCATGATTGGTTATAGAGATATGAGGTGGAGATAATACATTATGCAGTTATGAGTTAGAATGAGATTCTAGATAGTTGAGAAATTGATCAAGTTCAGAAAAAGGTATTATAGGCAAAGTAGAACTTGAACATTTATCATGATTAGTAGTATGAGTATTGTGAGCAAAAGGAAATATATGTTCATAAAAACTAACATTTCTTGATATAAAGGTTTCTTTGCTTTTTAAATCAAACATGATGTATCCTTTTGTCTCAGACTTAAATCCAAGAAATATACATTTTCTTGACCTAGGATCAAGTTTCTTTATATTAACAGTTAAAATAGCAGTAAAACATAAACATTCAAGTCAACAATATTTGGATTTTGATTATAGAGTAATTGATATGGTGATTTATTATCAAGTAATTTTGAGGGTTGTCTATTGATCAAATATGTAGCATGAGCTACAGCAAAATTCCAAAAACACTTAGGTAAAGAAGATTGAAACAGTAAGGCCCTAGACACTCCTAAAATATGTTGATGTTTCTGTTCAACAGTACCATCTTTTTGAGGTGTCTCAACACAAGAAGTTTGGTGAAGAATCCCTTTAGAATTAAAGAAAATAGTAAGTTTAAACTCAGGTCCATTGTCAGATCTTATGCATTTCATATTTGTACCAAATTGTGTTTCAATGTGATTGCAAAAAAATTCAATTAATTTTGGAACTTCATATTTCACTTTTATAAAGTATATCCATGTGTGTCTTGTAAAATCATCAACAATGGTAAAAAAATATCTATGTCCTAAAGTAGAAGGAATAGAAATAGGACCCCAAATATTTACATTTATTATGTTAAAGGCACGAGAAACATGATCACTGTTGCAAGGAAAAGGTAATTTATTGTGTTTTGTAAAATGACATACATCACAAACATCTTTTAACTTTTGTTTTGTACAAGAAATGAAAGGAAAATTAGTACTCATTACTAAAAGCTTATCATGAGATGGATCTCCAAGTCTTCTGTACCAAAGTTTCATATTAGAAATATCAGAAACGG